ATATATATGTGTGTATATGGCTTGTTATAAAATAAATAAAGATTTTCATATATATATATATATCAATATGCAAGTGTACGCGGCTTTCCACTTATGGAGGTTCAAATACTTTTAATTGAACGGACCGCCGACGCACACTTGACGATTTCTAGAGCACCATATATCGTCTACATTAATTAAATATGTGTAGGATTAATCACACGTATATGTTCTCGATATCCATCGAGTGCGTAAGAAGTGTAGAAAATATCAATCAATCATCAACAACGAGTAACCAATCGTAAGGGCCTGATTTTACTACATATAAGATTCTCTCAATATATTTATATATATTTTATTTAAAAATAACTATTTATGGCGATAGATTAACCGAAATTATTAAATTAAAAAAAAAAAGAAGAAATCTCAGTTTTCTACATCTGAACAAGAAGGTAAATACATCCCCGGTAATAAAAGATGGAATGGAAAGTAAATATTATGAAGTAAATTTCTAATTTCAAAATCGAGAATTTACTTTCACAGAGATGATTAAGTCTTCGTTAGAATATATCGTATAATCTCAGCGTCATAAATCACGGATAAGAATCATCGCGGTTCTTACTGATGGCAGCTCGTCGTCACGTTATAGTAAAGTCATTATAACGTTTAGTAATCGCGTTTATAACGTTTTCGCAATTGCTAATCACTACGGCATTAAGTCATATATGTTTACTCACACGGATGAATTCGAAATTGCTTTATATCTTATGCGCCATCTCTCCCACCTGTTTCCGAGAGTTATCTCTTTTACATTCACTATTTAACGGCTGTGATTCTACGAACTACACCCGTACTCTCACAGAATAGGCCAACATGCGTAAAATATGACGGAAAAACTCAGCTATTCGAAAAATATAAATATTCCCTACACGAGTACACATTGAGACTTGCTCGGATGCGCAGTTACAAGAGGAACGCCGTTTGCACACACGAAACCGAAATAATACTATTATAAAAAAACATTAAAGGAAGGACTATAAGATACCTAACACCCTAAATACTATCACGCATTCGCACTTGTGAACCACGTCCAGTCTCCATTGCCGCCGAGTGTGGCGTGAAGTACATTTCGGATGCGCAAACGACGCTCGCTACGACAGATTGTGACGCGCACAGACTTCGATTGCGGCACAGAGTAAGCCGTTCGAGTAAATACAGCGCAAAGCTATAACTTAAAACTGTCATTAATTAATATAGTAAGAAAAAGAAAAAAACGGGGGGGGGGGGCATATCGCTCTCATTCACGCGGAAAGGGATCGAAGCACCCGTCGGACGTAAGAAATAAATATGTCGCGGTCAAGAAATAAATATTTTCTCCCATCGACAATACTCTACAAGGTGGCGCGTCCGAAGATCATTCGTCCTCTTTATCGTATCGATCGCGCTTACACGACGCGACACAGCGAGACAGAACGTAAGCTTCTAAAGCGCATATCTCTATCCATCGAGCAATATTCAAAGCTAGAGAAACGTAAAACAGAATAATAAAATATAAAAAGGAAAAGCTGTCGCTCCTCGCTGCAGAACAGACACCGCTCCCCGAACCGGACACGTCGCTCGACCGAAACCCGACGATAAAAGACGGCAAGGTGCATGCAATCTGCCGACGATATCAGCCGCGCGTTTAGAAAAATCGCGTCTCTTTCCTCTCCTCTCCTCACTTTCTAGCTTCTCCTATTTCTCGCTTCCTGCGCGAGATCTACAAGGCGTCAACGGGCTTCTAAATACTGCCAGACAGAAAAAGAAAGAGGGAGAGACTACCTCGGCCCTTGTTACACATTACAACGTTACAAAGGATACACACACGATACGGCTGGGACGCGGCGCTCGCCCGACAGAAAATTCGGCCAAACTGCTTCTCTACTTTGTTATGAGCGGTCCGGAAAGAACGGTAGTAAGGCAGTGTACTGTCTCATGGTATAGAAGGAATTCCCGCAGGTCTAAGATTTCTCGTCACTAAGGATCCGGGGCTGGGAGCTACGCCGCGTCGACATCCCGACCCGAGATCTCATGTCCGTCGACCGACGACCGGCCGGACCTTAGCTCCCCACAGACAGCTAGAAGACAGTCACGGCCTTGTTGCGGTCAGCGAGCGAAGAGCGAGCTCGTTAGGTCAACAGTTGTGATTAGCAGTGCCATTATTCACCTGTATACCCATCTCCGTCTCGTAATCGTTCGATTGATGCTTCTCCGCGGTGTGTTTCTCGGAGTGTTTCTTCTCCTCGCCGAAGAGATTTGCTACGAAGAATGTCTGGAAAGGAACGACGATCGGATCTAGCGACAATTCCCGAAAGAGAGACAGATATCGCGCGGAAGAGGACCGAAGCGGCCGGGATACTTACCACCACCAGAGCGCTGATGACGCCGAGGGTGGATCCCGCGAGCACGTCGCTCCAGTGGTGCTTGTAATCGGAAATGCGGGACATCGCGGTGAACCAAGCTGTGAGCAGACATATCAGCTGGAGGAAGTGTTTGAGCAGTCTGCTGCCTTTCCATCTCATCCGCAGTTGAAGGTATATCTGAAAACAATCCCGCGTGTCTCCTAACAGCTCTCTCTCTCTCTCTTTTTTAATATTTGAAATCGTCTCTGCATTTGGACCAACGGAGGAATAAGTGATTAGCCTTTAAGAACCGAAGTACGACTGTTTTGATGCTTTTAAATATTAATATTATTTATATCAATGCGTCCGCACGGGAGGATAATGATAAGACTTGGCCGTGATCGGATGATCATCACGCCGACTTTGTCGCGAAAAAAGCTCGGATCTGCAATGTTCTCTCGGCGCTTGGCATATTAAATTATGCAAATCGATTCCTCGGACTCTCGTGGACTCGCTGCACGACCCGTCCGGGCCGACACGCTCGTATTAGGCCGGTCAAACGATTACGATCTGGCCCTCGCATGCAAATCGATGCGCCTGCAAACGCGCAACCCGTGCAACTTACCGCCAGGTAGACCATGGTGTAGGCCGAGAAGGACGAGTGACCGGAGGGGAACGATAATCTGAAACGATCAATCGTACCGTGTCAAATAAATCTCATTTATCGATCAGCGCACGCGGGTGGAGGGAAGGGGGGAGGGACAAGGGAGAGCCATCGCGCGTATACACGCGTAATGGCCCGGCTATTAATTCTATCGCGATTAATTCCGGGGCGTGCAACGTGCCGATTACGATCGCGGCGGAGCGGTGTAGCCGCGAGCGCGGAGAATACGAAGAAGAGGATGAAGAAGAGGCTCAGGCGAGGCTCCACGGCCGTCTGTAGATCCCACGAGCAAAAAAGGAGGGATCCGAGAGGGAATCACGGGGATTCGATCCTGCCCACTAATAGAGAGAAGAAAAGAGATAAGAGAGAGAATAAAGGAGAGGAGAGGAAAAAGAGAGAGAGAGAGAGAAAGAGAGAGAAACAGCTCGTAAAGAAATTCAGCAAGCGCGGTGCGTTAATTAGGACCTGCAGCTCGGCGTTTGGTTTTTATACTTGATACCACGAGCAGGGAGTATTATCGCGCGAATCGATTTCCGTTCGCCGGACGAATTGATTTGCAGAGACCCGACCGTGGGATTGTACAGTTTTAAAAAGTTTCGAAGAGAAAAACTGTTTTCCCGCACTTTTTCCGCGGTTTCCGTCACGAGGTTACAAAAATTCGCGTGGAAACATTTACGTGAATTCGATTGAAACACCCGCCACGTTTACTTTTTTGTTTCCACAGAAAAGATAACAAATCGACAAAATCCGCGGATTTTGGAGAAAAACTGCACATCGACATGCAATTTCAAAGATCTTTGTGGTTCGAGTCGGAACACATCGGTGACCGACGAACGAAAGCGACCACCGACCGCCCTTAGCGAACGCGTCTGCCCGCACTTACGAGGGTCTCAAGGATCCGTATAGGTGACATTGTTGAGCGACGAGTTAACGAAATCCCTCGCGCGCCCACGCACTTCACCATTCCGCTCTCTCTCTCTCTCTCTCTCTTTCTTTCTTTCTTTCTTTCTCTCTCCGTCTGCTTCGACGCGTCCTTTCGACTGCCACCGGTGCGCGAACGTCGGGCCCTGATGGACGGGGTATCATGAATGAATGAATTCTCTGTGTGGCGCCTCTTTATATCGTCCTCTCCATTCCTCAAATCTCTCTCTACACATAAAACTGTCCCTGCTGCCGCCGTCGCCGCGAAGGGCGGGCGGATGACCCGCGATACGCTCGAGTACGCGTGTACCATACGCGGCACCGCCGCCAACCGAAAGAGCCGCCTCGTTAAAACACACGGACACACACATGTGCGCGCGGATTGTTCCTTCTTTTTTGCCCGCTTATACACGCGATGATAACGCCCGACGCCGTTCCTTCTCCCGTCCGGTCTTTTTCTCTGTTTCTTCCTTTATCTCTCTCTCTCTCTCTCTCTCTCTCTCTCTCGGCGAGGAGACGCGGAGAAAAGACGAGAGAGCGCGTTTGTGTTTGTACGTCGTGTTTGACGCGCGTTTCCATGGACTCTGGAACCCAGTGCACCGAATGCACCACGGCGAGAATCGAGGATGATCCCCCGAGATAACTCCCCCGCACGCGTGTCTCGCGAGGATCCGGATCGGGCCGGTTTCGCACGCTGTTTTGCGCGCAAAACGTGACATCCACGACAAACGCGTTATGCAACAAATCCTTTATCTTCTCTCTCTCTCTCTCTCTCTCTCTCTCCGAGAAGTCCGTGTCGTGACTTTGGTCCTCACAATTTCGAGATCTCAACGCTGCTTGCGTTTCAATGCACTTCCCTCGTCAGTTGGTTTCTCGAAAACAACGCTGGAGAACGCGCGGCGTTCACGCGACGAACACATTCGGTTAGTGAAAGCGCATTAATTGACTTGTCCTTGGGCGCGTGAAAGTCCGTGTCGTATTGTCTAAAAGACCAACGGCAAATCCCCAAAGAATTGTTTCTAAGAGTTCGTCAAGGGGGCTTGGCACAACTCCAGCGAATCTGACATGCCTCAGCTTGTACGTTACATATGTGATATAAACTTACATTGCAAAACTTCATTACACATTTCATTCATTCTGTTTTAAGGCAGTTGGTCCGTAAAGTGCTGGATTTTTAGTTTCAAATTTTCTATAATTACATCTTCAAAACAAAATGGTAAAAAATTCTGACATGTTCTCATAACGTCTATATTAATTCTTTACATTACAGTAGTTTTTCATTAAAGTCGTAAATGCAGTTTAGAAGAAATTGAAAATAGAACCTTAACCTCAAGGAACACACGTACAAAAAGTGTCTTCAGCTGCGATTAGAGTTTTCGAACGATCAATCATTATCTAACTTTATAGACATGTAGATAGTATTCCCATCAATACGCCCCTTAAATTTAAAAAGGATTCCTAAGAAAAGATTTGATTAACTGCCTTAAGAACCTTATCGGATTGCAGGAAAAGTTCAAAAGGTGACCAAAGGCGCTGACACTCCCGGGAAAAGAAACAGCTGTTCTCAACAGTCATTTCTCTCTCTTTATCTCTCTCCCCTTCTCCTCTTTTCTTTCTCTTTTCTCCAGATTTCACCGATTATCCTCGACCAAACTAATTGGGCGAAAAGCCCGATTCGGTCTTTCTGGGAAAACCAATTCTTTTCACTGGTTTTCCAAGCATCTTCTTCAGCACCACGTCTGATGCACGGTGCGCGCGAGCTCGGTCATCCTCACAGGTATTTATTCCCAACGCGTTTCCCCGACTTTCGTGCGGAGGATAATGACGTGCGCGCCGCGACGCGGTGGGCGAGTTATTTCGAGTAATGAGCCGCGTGTAATCCTTCGGACTTTGTCGTTCTTCGCGCTCTTCGGCGCGTTCCATCTCGCACGAGAGAGAGAGAGTCCTTCGCTTTGCGCTCGCCTTTGTGGCAAGTCCGTTCCGCATTTGCCGGGTAAATTGAAGGCGAAAATTGAGCACGCGCGCGCAAAAGGAGGAGCGGCCAGCCGAGAGACGTTTCAGATGGTCCGCCACCGGCGTGGCGCGCCCCGAAACTGTCGGACTCGATTAATTCGCGCCCGCGGATCGAATGCGTTCGTCACGTGGACATCGCGTTCTCCACCGTTGTCCTCGGGGCGTTAACACATTGTCACAACCGCGCGAGTTGCCAGGCTTTGAACCCGAGTAGACATTTTGATACTATGTGAAACCTTTAATTTGACATTTAACATGAGTCCTCTGACCCCGATGATAATGTCTTGAATTTTCGTTTTGCTGCGTCATATCGCGACGTAGAGAAGTCAATATAGTAAAATCTAAAAGCAAAAATAATAATACTTCCCAGAATCATGAAAAGTTTATCCGGTCGATTGGCAATACCTCAACTGTCGGAGAGTGCGATACAGGCGCGTACACAAGATCGAGACTTGGAAATCGTAGGATCAAGGCCAAAGGGGAGCGAAACCTCGAAAGGGCGAACGCAGAATGCGCGCGTAAACACGCTCGTTGAGGCTGCGATCGTTCTAATAATAGGAGGAACGAGGGGTGGAAATCGGATAAGCGTGAACATTCGTCGATGTATCGGCAACAATAAGAAGGGTGCGTACGCGGATAATTCGTGCGTGTAATAGTGTTTCCGTTCGCGGGGAGGACGGAAAGAGAGAGAGAGAGAGAGGAGCGCCTCGTTCGTACGAATCGCTGCGAATTCGCCCGGCGGCGTTGCTCATTGTCATTCGCTACCGTCGCCCTTTTTGTGCGCGTATATCCGTTAAAACCGGCCCGCAAGCGGGTACACACACGCGTCCGGGACGCGAAAAGGTCTCTCCTGCGTACAACGGCCGACGACAAAGGCCACACACGCGGTGTGCGCGATCGATTCGCAGGAAACGCCCTGGCGAACCTTGAATCTCGCTGAACGGCACGGCGTTTTAATCATGCTCGCGAGACGGATTGTAACACCGGCGAAGTGAATTTCAATACTCATTAATCGACTGCGATTCTTCTCGACGGATTGTTTTCGATCTGGTACCTGTTATCCTACGCGTTTCTCGTCTCCCATAAGGTAAAAGTACAAATACCTGGACACCTACCTGACCGTGGATATTCTTGTTGTTCTGGTCTTTAAATACAAATGTTTACTGAGGTAGCGGGTAGGTAGTACGGTTAGTTTCATATACGTTCCTTAAACGCATGTAATATGAAACGTATGATTATGAAACGTTACATACATTCGAAGAACTTGTATGAAAATAACATGTGCTACCTGTGTAATCTTTAAGCACAAAATATTCAGATATATTCAATATATGTACATATATCCTATGTTGAAGGTTCGGATATTCGTATTTAGAGACCAAAACAACACGAGAATGTCTCGAGTCAGCTGCATGTCCAGACATTGGTACTTTTACCTTAAGAACCCGAGTTTTTGCTCGATTTGCATTCTCGAAATCGCCGGTGCATCGTACAGATAAATGAACAAATTAACGAAGGATTACAATTAGAAAAATACGAGCGCGAATAACTCGGTAAGTGGCGGGCAAGAACGGGGCAAACGACTGATAATCCAATGAGCGAATAACGAGAACGAAACGTCGACGGAGAGTCGGGTCGACTCGAGTATCGAATCGATTTAGAGCGAGCGTCGTAGTCATCTTTCCGCATTCGTCCCCCTTTAATTACTGCAAATTACCGTTTTCGTCTCGCGTTCACCGGGCTCGCCTCGCACGTTCGCATCTCTCTCTCTCTCTCTCTCTCTCTCTCCCTTTCTCCGCGGCTCTCCGTTAATGAAGTAAAAATAATGAACGCGCGACGTTCCCATCTCCGCTCCTCGTTTCTTCGTGCAATCGCGCCTCGCCTGTGGCTCGTAATTGCACAATTGTTACCGTCACGCGATCTAAACAGCTCGGCTCGTGTTCTCGGACACATCGCGGCAGGCTATTGCCCCGAGGATTCGCCGATGCCGACCGGCCGCATCGGTGTACCGAGAATAAAGCCGCGAGGACCCGAGAGAGGGACAGAGATAGAAAGAGAGGAACGCGTCGTCTCGTCGTGTCATGTAACGCCGCTCAAACTTTGTCGGTCCGTCTCGTGTCGAAAATGAGAATCTCTATCTCTCTTCCTTGGTCCGGCCATCTTAGGTTGTAATGCAAACGATAATTTATAAGCGATAATAAAAGGGAGGCTTCTTGCCGAGGGTTCTTTACCTCATTTCCTTGAGCTGCTTCGCCGTAATGCCCGATGCGGTGCAGACGAAGTCCTGGATGTACCAGTGCTGATTCTTAGCCAAGGTACAGTTCACGTTCGGCACGCACAGCGTCATGAAGTGCGGCCGTAGCCGGCCTATGCTGTACTTCGCGATGTCCGTGATTAAAACGGTGCACGCCGTGCCGAAAAGGAACACGCCGACCTACGAATGTGTGACGTTATTTTATCTACCTCGCTCTTCTTATTTTATTTCATTCTACTTCTTTTTCAACATATTTACGTTATTCCTTTTCACTATGTCTTACATTATTTTCTGATTTATTTCATTTTTCCACCGACCACACACAGTGATCATTGAATCATAAACGCGAAACGCACCTTCTCGTAAGCGTTGTATATCCACAGCGGTATGGAATAGCCGAACAGCACCTTCCCCGTTTGTTCGGTGCAGTGCCTGGCGTGCAAGTATTCTCCTGTGATAATCTGAAAGCAAGGCGGATCGCGATCTTAGATTGTGAACTGCTCGACACGAGTGCGCGGATTCATGCACGACGCAGATTCCTGAATAACCTACACACGTTATTAAAATATTCGTTCTACTATGCATATGTATGCACAGCGGCTTATTTATACGCCTTATTATGCATCCACTAAATAATTTCTTAACAAGAAATAAACAAATAAGGAAACAGGCAGGAAATTAGAATTACAAAATCGTTGTGAAACTTGCTGACGACTGAATTTTCCGGTCTCTCGACTGAACACTGTCGTAGGAAAAGATTCGTTATAACCTTAATCACAAATTTACAATATCGAGAACCAAGAATCTCTAGATTGAGAACGAAGAACCGACAATATATTCTTCGAGGGAAGATCGACTTTGGCTCTGCAGATGAAGAATCACCAAGTGACTATCCAACACGTCCGAGACAGCTTGTACGTTACACCTGCGATACAATCTTTCATTCCGAGACTGCTTTACGACCCTCGTCGGACCGTAAGAAAGATCCAGAGGCAGACTAAAGGCGATGGCACTCTCGGGAGAGAAAACGCGGCTTAACAGCCATCTCTCTCACCCTCTTCTTCCCTCTTTCTTTTATTTCTTTCGAAATTCCACGTAGCCTCGACAAAATAAATTAACCGGCCGGGATGCGGGATAAAGGTCGCCAGGCAGGTGATATAGTACGCCGCCCGGTTCACGGCGCATGTCGTTTTTACCTGTCCTACCTGCCCTACCCGACTCGGCCTGAGCTCTTACTCAAATCCAGAGCGACGCAGCGAGACGCGAGCGATCTGTTTCTCCTCTGCACGAAGAAGAGACTAAAGAGTAAGGCGATCGGCTCACGAGAAACCCCGTGAGAGATCCACTTCATTCGTAGAGAGAAGGATTGCGAAGAGAAAAACCCTTCTCGGATCGCCGCGCAGGTACTGGAATGCACGTACCTGTAAAAGCTATAAAACCGTCGCGCAGGAACGTGAAGGTAGGTAGGTAGGTAGGTGGGTAGATAGGTAGGTAGGCAGGCGGATAAGTGGGTGGGTGCCCCGGGAATCCCGGTGAATAGAGGCGGCGGATTTCGAGGAAAAGAGTCGACGAGCATCACGATTCGTAGTGGAAAGCATCCGATGTGCCCAATGATAATTCATTATTGAAATCACGGCGATGATGAATTATTATTAAAATCATCATTCGCAAGGTAAAATCAATTTTATTTACTTTATATATATATATTTTTTTTTTTCGGACGAAAATAATTACGACCAACGGTATATTCGTGCTCGAAATTATTATAAAAATTATTATCATTACGATCGCAACAGCTTAATCAGAGGATATCAAACGGAATCAAACTCGATGCCATCGTGAGTAATTGACATTTGCCTGCAAAAGTGAGAGTCGATAACAGCCGGTGTGTTTCCTCTCGAAATTTTTTCATACGTAATGTTACACGTCTCGGTATTTTTCAAGGCGCGACCGGTATCGGCGCGCAGTTACTTTTCCCTCCCGAGGAGGAAGAACGCCGGTGGTTTCTCCGCGAGAGAAGTTCGGCGTGAGGTAATTCTACTCGCGTGTGCGAAGGAAAGGGTTGAGATTTATCTCCGCTTCGTTAGCGATTAATCACGGCGTTAGCGAGTGGCGCGAGCGCGCTTTATCGAGTTAAATTAACAGTGCGACGTGTTTTCCCCGCGATATAATCGCCCGCCATTTCCTCCCGGCGTAAAACACAGGAACAAGCGACGGCACGCTCGCTTAACGAACGTAAGGGCGATCGCGGAATAGGAGAAGGATCCCCTTTCATCTTCTACTAAGCACGGCTGCGTAAATAAGCGCGAGTACTCTCGCGGGAAGGAAGTTGCGCGGCGGCCGAAGCCATTACTCGGCTGGATGCTGTTTGCCGTTCATTTTAGTAATTACCTGCCGGATCCACGATGGATTTACCGCGGCAGAACGGCGTGCAGTCGGTGCAACTAGGACGTTAATTAAAGGGGCGCGCGATTGGCCGTCGGGCTATGATTGACCCGGTATTCAGAGACCGGTCGGCGCTGTGTCAAATTGTCGCGTCAAATTGAGAAAATTGGCCGTTGTCTCGAATTCAAGCGATAGTTCCCCGACCGTCTGACATTTTCGATTAAGCCTTCACACAGTCCAATAAGTAACTCTAGTATATATGCCGCATCGAAGCGAACTGGAATATTCACAAAACTGGAAGCTGAATCAAGCATTTCTCTACACCGAGGGAAGCCAGATAAAATATCGGATTCCTGTAGGAGGTTTCTGCTCAGTCAACTGTTTTCGGTTATCTCAACCAAGTTTTATTACAGCCGAATGTTCGGACGAATATCTCTGGCCGCGGAGATATCATTTCTCGTCACCGAATTTTTCGTCTGGTCCTTATTTCATTTACACGGACCGAGATATTTTCAATGCGTCAAACTGAGACCGCGTTAAATTGAGAAAATTGACGGTTGCCTCGAGTTTGACAGACAGTTCCACGATCGTTCGCCAGTTCTCGATTGAGCCTTTGCGGCCGTGATAATTATACCGGCGGTATTTCTTGCAAAGAGAGAGTCTCTTAACTTGCGAAAAAATCAACGAGGTCAGCGCTACCATTCAATCGCCGGAACGAAAAAAGAGTAACTGCTTCTTGGAAGAAAAGATAAGATAAAAGAAAAGATGACAAAAAGTAACTCTCTCAAACATCAGAATAGTGACGAAAAGTGACATGTTTTGTCAAATTCTGAGTAACTAAGATTATTTAAGCAAAAAAGTAATACTATTATTTTTACCTTTTCAGGCTTATCTTTGGATAATTTAACATATAACGAGTTCTTTTCATAGTAATGTTTAAAAGTTCATAACAAAGGAACACCAAAGGCATAAACGCTACAAGTACGCTTTCGGAGTAATTTCAACAGAGACGACAAAAAAAACATATATATATATAACGACTATATTTTACAAATTTAACAATAGCTCAAGAAAAAAGTGTGATCCATTTTTGGACAATGGTAAATTTTTTAGTGACTTGTCATAAAAAAGTAAGTGAAAGGTGACTCAAATGACTGGATGACAACGTTGTAAGATCAACAATGACATCACTATGGAACTCATTAAAACTCTACACCCTATGGATTACGGTAAACGCACATAGTTGGTCGTCGGCGGGAATACGCGTGCACGCGACTCGCCGAAGGAAATTACGGTCCCCTTTAATCTCCGCCATTATATTATAATAGGATCTCTCTTTGTGCCCTGATCATCCTTTGACGAGACTAACGCGCATTCATCCGCTCTCTCTCTCCGTTTCTCGTCCTCTTTCGCGTCCCCCTATCCTCCCCCGTTCTCGCGCTTGCACGCACACGGCGAAGAAGAGCGCATGCAATTTCACGTGCTCTGAATTATGCACGACGCTCGAAATTACTCGCTGTTCTCGCCCCGCGGTGACAGCGTTAATTCGTATTTGGTGCGACGAGAGGACGAAAAAGAGCAAGATGCGGCCGCTCGACGTTTGAAGATTCGAGAGCGAGACGGAGAATTGCGAGCGGGCCGGCTGAAATGGAAAACGGCCCGAAAGCGGTGCGGTTTTCTACCCGCGTGTCATAGCGATGACGTTCTTGCGAAATGTTCGCTTTCGCCCAAAGTGAAAGCGGGGAGTCACGTTGCCGCGGGATCTCCTAAATTGCGAGTACCGAGAGACGAGATCGCGGGCGAGCGCTCGCAGTTTCGCAGAAAGGAAATCTATCGTGAAGCACGTCGATCTTACGATGCCGATCGGAGAAAACGTGACATCGCGAAAAACAGGCGTGAAAATTCACGAGAGGGATTCCGGGACGGCGGAAAAAGGCGAGAAATTGTATAACAGGTCCAGAAATAACCGGGAACCGGCAACGCCCGCTCGGCGCATCTTTCTTTCAGCTTTTCCAGACTCCCGGCGGCAAAACTTAATTTTGGAATAACGGGCCGTAAGCCTCCAATATTATTAGAGCGAGAATCCCACGGAGTCACGGGAATTCGATGTATTCGTCGAAGCTAGCTGGCACAGATTTCTAAACATTCGAGCAAGAGAAATACGCGAAACCTATAAATAGGCGTAAACCGCAAGTAGAATCGTGCCGATCGCTCCCGTAAACGAAGTCACGTGGACGACGACACGTCGGAACGAGGAAAACCAACGGTGAATAAACGGAGATTACAACGATCGTATGCGTACGTTTTCCTTCAGCGATCGCTGACCTTCTTCACTTTGTTTCCGTTGAGAAAACGAAGGCAAAGGGAGGGTCTGATATAAAAGATTTGCGCTCTCGAAAGTAGAGTAAAAGAAGAGTTGCTCCCTACAATTTCTCTATTTTTTTTAGGCTCGGCAAAAATATTCGACCGATGTACACCACGTGCACGCCACTTCTAGATACCGTAAATTGATTCCCACGAACTTAAGAGGATGGCATCCCAGAGCGCGCAAGAAATAATGCTTCTTGTCTCTGTGAAAAAAGAAATAAAGCGACACCGACAATTTTCAAACAAGGACTCTACCGACACAAATCGCGCATTATAATTATTCGAAAAAATATAAATTCCCAAAGTCCTTAGATATAGAATCAATTAAAGAGAGAATGGACTAATAAAGGCAACAGCTCGGATCTTATAGTGGCATAAGAACACAAATGTTAAAAATAGCAATTAATCTTCTCGAAGCTGTTTAATATATATATCACAGTCATAACGCCCACACGTTTCGATCCTATTCGAACTAAAAATTATAAAAACCGTTACATAAGGAGCATGTTAAAAAGTAAGAAAGTTCCATAAGTCATAAATTAAAAATCAAAACAATCAACGGAGAGTTCAGCCAACAATGCCAGTTGCAATATAATTATTCCCTACAGTAGACAGGAAATATTGTGCTGTTTTTACTAACAGAGATCAGGTGGAAACAATAACATTTTGTGAGAGCCGACCACTTAATCCGTATCATCTGAACCCATATTCGCTTGAACATCTTAAAGCTATATTTATCTTTTCTCCTTCTTTTTTCCTGTACTATATATGTTTTGTAACGCTTTTAGAGGATTATAGTCCTGGAGCGATAACAAACGCATCAATCAATCTCTCTCTCTCTCTCTCCCTATGTGTTTCTTTCTCTCTCTTTCATTCTCGATGTACATCCACACGTGTCCGACAGACAGCGGACGACGCGACTGCTAGTGCGTCTCGTATTCTTAGACGCCACCTTCTCATCCCTCCTCTCGGAGGGTGAAAAGAAGCCTGAAAAGCGGCGGCACGCGACAAGCCCTTCAAATCGTTCGCTCGCTCGCTACCATCTGCTACTGATTTCCCTGACGTTTCGCGACGAGATCCGAATCAAAGCGCGCCCGCCGCGAGAAGAGGGATCGGATTCTCCTTCGAGCGACCGGTAGATAATTTTTCGCGATTGAGCGAGAGATCTTACGTAGGCGCTCGCGAGGTGACTCACCGTAAATACTGGAAGGCAAATGCCGACGACGTACAGCATCAGACTGGTAACCGTGGAGCCGTGATACGGGTGATACAGTGACTCATCGTTGCAGAAAAAGCCACGTTTGTACGGTTTGCCGAACAGGAAGAACATCAGCACCGTGAGTCCCACTGAAACAAACAAGCGGGGACAAACAAGTTAGTTACGATTGTGGATGCGTTGCACGATCACTCGTGTTATCGTCTGATTCATCGATGGCCCGCGCTCTATCGGGACCAATCAATGACCGAACGTCTCGCGCGAAGCTTCATATTAACAGGCGATTCATTGCACTTGTCGCAGCGATCGCGAGCGCGCCGCATAGTCACGTTGTGACTCCATCAGGCCGGGTATTCGCTATCGAGATTTCGATAATCGCCATTAAGTAAGCCAAGTAAGTCAAACGAGATCCCCGCAGGGGTTAACGATATAATTGCATTTAATTGCACACGAGTGTGATATGCAAGCGATCATGCAAAATATATCAAGTTGCTTCGAGGCGCTTATCAGCTATATAATTATGATAACACGCACAATTATCTTTATAGCTATATTCACTGTCATTATCGTTACGGAGGTATTACCGTAATTTCCGCAATCTGCGGATACTGTTCGTGCAACTACCGTGTAAGACTACGAGATCGGGGTAGATTAACCATGCGCGTCCTTCATGTACTTATTGCGAGAAAAGTTCGAGCTCGTTAGAGCGAGAGTCGCGCGACGCCTAATTATCGGGCGTGTTTTCCCGAACGGAGAGATGGCGTTTATTCGTTTTGCACATTGGAGCGCGCACCTGTCAACGCATATGTTAGCGCCGCGAGGCGGAAAATCGCCGGGAAAATTACGGACCACCTGTCGGCGGGAATTTATTTACAACAGCGTACGCGCGTTACAACACCACCACTACTACCACCGTGCCAGCTACCTGAAAATCACGACCGGTCGACCGGTAGTTGAGATAATCGTGACGCTGTTTTCAGCGAAACGAGGTAATGCCACGGTGGGCTGTAACAGGTCGCGCGATCGCGCGCCCGCTTATTATTTATGTAGTCCGTTGCTCGGTGTGTTTTGCAAGCCAAATTGCGCCCCCGAAAAATTGAGCCCATGATTACGACCTGGAGAAAACGTTACGTAGCGACATCGAGATTTCACGTCGTTTTGCCTTCCTTCTTTCTCTATTTCTCTTTTTTCCCATTTTCTCGACGGTGAAATTAAACTTAGAGTTTCATGAATTATTTAAGCGAATAGACACGTCTATTAAGCGTATAGACACGTCTGCGGAATGCGGATCTGTCAATTTGATATATAAATGATTTAGTAACCGAAACGATATATTCGTTTATGAATTCGTGACATTTATATAGACGTTGCTGATCGCGAGAAAAATAAAGTAAGCGATACTTCTTATGATATTTATCCGGAGACGTGGAAAACGTGAATATTTGCCTGCCATAAAAACTTCGACGATGCGTCAATGGACGACCTTGCCGGCTCTTAGTCATTTCATAGCAGTTCCGTCGCCTTCGACGTGTGCAAAGAGAGTTCGTCGGCTTCGAGTCGCTTTAACTCGAGATAATCGTTTGATCACGCGCGACTGCTGCGATAATAAATATTTCATAAATTCATAAGCGCGAAGGCACCGGCCAGCGGGTTCGGCCGAGGACTCCCCGGGGCTCCGAGAGGGTCAAGTGCGAAACGAAGTGTACGAGAAACTCGCGACCCATTTATGGCTCATCGCGCCCCGTACTTCTGTTACGTGTGTTACGTAATAAAACCGAATAATATTATTATTGCGCCGTCGAGCGTGAAACGTCGCTCAAGCAGTGACGGAAAAGGGCCAAGGACTTTATTCGACGAGCGATACAAAGTGAACATTCACGATCGGGGGACTCTGGAGAAACGCTGGGGATAATTAAAAACTTTAGTCTCTCGAGGAGCGAAACTGACGTATGTATTTCAGAGATTGGGGGACGCGCGCGCGCGCACGTGTGGGTGAAAGTATGTGAAATTGAAACAAAACAATATCGACGTAGAGGAATACGACTTTGAAAAGTCGCAGCGACGAAGCGACGTTAAATTGTCGCATATAAATTTTTGCATTTGTCGGACAGTTATCGCGCGAGTAAACCGAAGGAAGTAGTGGCTATTGCGTAACCGCTGATAACGTGAGCAATTTTTCCCAGCGATAGTCGTAATGCGATCGTACATGCGATGTACTTTTTATCGGTATGTAATAGATTTAGAGCCACCTTGACATCTATTTGTAGTACACGTAGCACGTCTCGTCATCATCACAAATTTGTACGTCGTCACTTGATCGATGACTCAACAGGCGGCCGATATATGCTCTTTCTTACACGTCGGTAAAATAATACGTTATTTCTCGATTGTCAGACCAACGTCATCGTCATTCATAAAGCACCTGTTCTAGAGAGAAATATGCGCAGTTATTGGCAATTTTGGATATTCGACTATCTTGAAATTATTGCGACTCTTGATACTCGCATATCTGATTTTTTTTAGTAGCTCACCGATAATGCTCGCGAAGTTGAGTAATAGATAAGCATGCGAATATAAAAACTGTTCAGTGTTTATATCGACAACACCAGTACTTTTATACAATAGTGACTTTTATACAATATTGATAAGTTTCCTTCCAACTTTGGAGATCACGACGACATGTCGAATATCTTGTATTTTACAGCAAACGCGTGCCTTCAGGGAAATGTCTTAAATATTTTAGATCGCGGTATACACTACGGAGTTTGTGTCCTATGGACTTGTGCAATTTAGTCGATATTTAGTCGTAGAATCACCATTTTTATCGTATTCTACGTAATAAATCTACATTCGTGTATATAGTATTACGAGCATCTACTCACAGTAAAAAATTTTGTGTTAAAAACAGTCTATTGAAATTTTGCTTTTATTTCAACATGGGAAATGTGTTAAAAAGTGCACAAATATAATGTTAAATTAATTACATTCACCTTGTCGGCATATGTCCTTAATATTTTAACACAAACTATTTTTAACACAAAAAACTTTATTATACTTGCTTCTACTCGAATTCACCGAAAAACATGATCCAACCGGTTCGAAATTTAGGCATTCGTAGATATGTGATTCTTATGAATTTAAATCAATAAAAATAAATTTCATGAATTTGTCTAAATAAGCATATTCATTCGCAGAAAAGTCACAAGTCGCAGACATAAAAATATTCAACTTCCACGATAGCTATACAAAGATGTTGCGCCAAAAACACCGTCCTTCTCTCACTTGCGGTGGGAGTAGTGGGAGGGAAATCCAAAGCCCATCGTGTTTAATGAGAACGTGACGTCGCGCGCTTTAATTTACGATGTTAAATAACGACTTCTTCGTTCACGGTTCACCTTTGCGAACTTAATTACTCACCGCCACCGTCATTATTCCCGTCCTCTCCATCATTATACAACGCGCTAAAAACGGTAGCGACGAAGCGATCGTTAAGGAAAAATTGACATGACACGAGAGAGCCCCCTCGGAGAACATGCTACCGGTGAGAGACGCTCATTTCAGCGCGAGCCATATATCAAGCGCGGACAATCGCCCGCATAAATCTGCCCGGACAAAATTGCGATCTATACGAGAGGAGCATTGCGAAATACAAACACCATAAATTCTCGAGCCGATCGACGAGAGAAAAAGGAAGAGAGAGAGGGAGAGAAAGAGAGAGAGAAAGAGAGGTGGAAAGAGAGCGGGCGATTATCCCGAAAAGATGATCAATTCTTCGCGCGCGCGCACAGTCAGCCGATAATTGAAACGATACACTCGGGCAAAAGGGGAGGGCTTGGGGGAGTAGGACGCGAGGGGAGTCTAATTTAATAGACTTATGTATATTCATCAGGGCGGAGCTGTGTGCGATTCTCGAAGCCGTCTAATCGTCACTTATCTCCCCGTGAATGGGCCGACACGCTCGTTACGTGGCGAACTAGTGTCGCAGGTTCGGGCCTTTTCAGCCTTCTCCTTCCCGTAGGCTCACCGACGATCTCGAGAGGGGCCGAGCTGTTCGTTAACGAACACTGAAAAGGCCCGATTATTAAATCGGACTCACGAAAAATGGCGGTTTCGCGTAACGTCAGCCGCCGGCCAAGGATAACGACCTCGGCACCGAATTGATTCTAAGCAGACCGACGGCCACGTCCTGACTCACCCATCCACCCACCTATCCCCCCTCCCCTCCCCCCCTCGCACTCCGGCTGTCTGCCCGCCTCGTAAGAATTTATTAATCTCCGCTGTTCTCTCGGCAGACCCAACACATAGCCAAAGTCTTCCCATCGAGATAGACAGCGACTGACGAGCGAGTTGTCGGAATCGCTTACCGTATACGTTTATTTCTACCTGTGCGTAAGCGTGAGAATCACGAGGAGCGATCTCTTCCGCGAGAGGTCTATGAAATCAACACCTCGCAATTTTTTTTCCAAAACTCACGTGGCATTTATAATGGCTTTTCCATAAAAANCGTCCAACCCGCGGAAAAGTTAAGACCAAGTAAAAAAATTGGACGAATTTTGACATCAGCTCCCCTATGAGTATCTTGCTTTAATCTCTAAACGGTATTACGATTATTCTATACTTTTTCCCATATTTTCCCATCAAAAATCTTCCCATCTTATTTAGGCGAAATAATTAGTTTATGGAATGTTACTTCGGGATTACGTGTTCGCGACAAAACTGCAAGAAACAATGACTTAATAAAAGTCTCACGAATAACAAGTAGTTGTAATTTGTCACAGAGCATAATAATGAGCTATTAAAAAATACGTTTCTAAAGTGCGACTTATGTAAGCGGAAGTAAAAGATTTACCATCCCGTCATATGTTTCGCGGTTTCACACAATTTCCTTGCAACGTGTAAAAAAATAAAGGAAAACTCAGTCCGTTTTAAGTTGTACAAGTTTTATTCTCGAGGCATCGCCGCCACGAAATAAAAAGTACATGGAATATATCAGTTTGATAAGGGGATTAATAACGTACATACAATCAGAAGATAGCGAATTCAATATCGTTGCAATTGTGTTTCGCACGAGATAAGCTCGAGAGACTGATCGATTTTACACAGAATTTTTTTATCTTGTCACCTTTATCACATCGTGACAAATGAGTGTGATATGAAATTTAAATTAAGATCGGAAACAATACAGAGATAAATTATTCCTACTGTTTGCGTATCATATAATTTACGAATGAAAGCAGATAATTCACAGATCGATATTATGCCTGAAGCGAGTACGCGAGAAATGCTTGCGAAAATATTTTCCCACGTTTGTTCACTTCCGAATGTACTGCTTTTTGCAATTATATTTACATGATATACATAATTAAACCACGATACCGAATACACGATATGTGTATTTAGAACATATACAGAGTGTTCCAAAAATAATAGATAAAAATATTTGTTATTCAATCTGAAGCCTTGATTAGCAGAGTTACCAAATCGTGGGATTTCTGGGTCATGATTCACGTAGTGGAGAGCTTATGTCACGCTACACAAGTATAAAACCTACGACACACAATGCTTGAAATGCTTGAAAGTGCTGGATTGCTAGAAATACTGCGCTCTGATTGATACGTCGATTGATACGTTTCTCGAAATCACGTGAATCACAAGTTAGCAGTTCTAAATAAGTGTCGACCATTTTCTGACTGGGCATTAGCTACTCTGAATGATTCAGGGAATAAACCTTGTGCTCTTACCGTCCCATTTTGGGAGACGCCCGACAGACGCAGTCTGTGAATTCAAGCGAGCTTCCTGGCGGCGTGCAAATTCAATTCAGTATTTTCAAATACCAAGGAGGGAGGGGGGATTGTCATTTGCGAGACAAAGGCGCCGTATCATCTGTCCGTATCTTGGAAACTGTGTCACCGTGCTGCCGAGATGAAATCGATCGAGCTCTCTCTCTCTCTCTCTCTCGGCGCTGCTTCTATCTCGTGCTGTTTACGACGAAATATACGCGGCATGCGAAATATCGCAAAAGCGTTACGCGCGTTTACCCATTATACATTGTTATCGCGCGGAAAACCGATAGCCGATACAACCAAGTATGCGCTTACCTCGAAGAAATCGCGTGTATTTAGGCGATCGCATTTTGCTCGGCGGACGGACGAACGGAGCAAATGGCGTATCGAATGGAGCGATTTATCGTCTATTTGCTCTCGCGCGCGTTATCACTGCGTCTTGCTCTCTGCGATTTCTATTTAATAATGTTATTAATCCAAATGCGACACACGCATGCGAGAATTCGCGCGTCAGAGAGTTTACATACACACATAGACAGATTGCACGCCTTTTCGATACTTCGTACCGTGTATCCGGTATATCGTGGCCTAATTGTGTAAATATAATTGCAAAACCGGCGGTAAACACTCGGAAGTGAAGTAACGTAAGAAAATATCTTCACAAGCTAGCGTTTTGATCTTTCTCGCGTATTCAGGCATAATATCGATCGGTGAATCATCTGTGTTCAGCCGTAAATTACACGTTATGCAAACAAAATGAATTATTTATCTCTGTATCGCTCCATACGTCCTCGAGAATTCCGCATGCATATGCCGCGAAGTTCTGGTTCTTCGCGCGAATTTCGAGAAACTGCCGTAAAAAACACTCCGGTTTGCCCCGGAGAATTTCCTAACTTTCCAAACATTTCAATGCCGCTGAATGCCGTAACTCCGCTGGTCGCGAAGATCGAATATACCCGGTCCGGCTGAGACAAATCGCCGAGGACACGCGATTGCCGAATAAACGATCGAGCTCACCATTTTGAAAATGTCTACCACCGAACGGACTTTCGTGTGACAAAGCGGTCGAGCCCGTTGGTGCCGCTCGGCGAACACAAATCAAGCGATTTCAAGTTCTAAGTGTTGCCGCATTCCGGTGCAGCCGGAAGAATTAAAATCCCGCGACGCGCTCTTCCTCCTCCCTTCTAACCCCTCGCCGTCGCGCAACATCTCGCGCGTGTATACAAAAGTTTCGCCGGGTTAATTCGCGGAAGCGACCGCAGGTATTCCCGGGAGCGGCGTCGTACGAGCGGAATAACAACACAGCGGCGCGCTTTTTAACCCAAGCAACAGGGCCACCTGCCAATTTATTCTAGCGGTTAGCCTTCCGTGCGCTCCGGGGCATCAAACGGGCCGCATGCGCGCGCTCTTGGCGCCTCGGTTGTCAATCTGACAGTCGCTCGTTGTCAACGACATAATCGCGTTGACGAGAGAGAACCTGGCACGCGGATCACGTTGCCGCGTGCGTTGTACTCACCGACCGCTATGCAAAGGAAGTCCACGATGACCTTTCGCAGTAGCAATTTCGACGATCGATCCATGTTGTCGCGGCTGGTCCTCCCGATTGTTCGCGATCAAGTGGACGATGCCACTGGTGTCCCTCTCGCGCTCAGGCCTCCTCAGGTGTCTCCTCGACTGGAGACAGACTCGACGAGCGGGTGACGACGAGTCTCGCGGAAGGTGTTCGAGAGGACGAGGAGAGGTAGTCAAATGACGCAGCGCGCCGGTAACCCTTGTAAACGTTGCCCTCGCGTCACGTGATCGGCGAAGCGCCTCGCACGACGCCTCGCATTCGACTAACTTCGCTGACGTGCGGCCGAGCGACGCAACGCGCCGCGCTCTGACGTTGTCCCTTCCCACCCCGCGATATTCCTCCCTTCTCTATCTATCTATCTATTTATCTCTCGCCGTCCTTCTCTCGCGCGCTGATCTGTCAAACGCAGCGCGGCTGCGTTCCTTCCGGGGCGAACGCGGCGTTCAATGCGCGCAAGACGCACGTGCTCGACTCGCGCGGCGATCGCATTCGCGAATAATGATAGACGGTAAACACAAAAATGGAACAGGCCGGCGCGCGCGAGCCGTGACGCGATAACAATAGTGAAGGAGGCAGAGATGAGCGCGGGCCGGTCCACTTGTGCGCGTTTATCGACGCGGCGCGTGACGTCGCGAGGTGCGAACCTCAGGACGCTTCGCCTCCTCGGCGCCGAGTTTTTTGCTATACGCTGTGAAATCTAGATTTCTCGAAATAACGTGCCGCTTCCGGAGCCTGCCGCTGCTTACTTTGGTGGACGCGAGGCAGAGAATATGTCGATCTTGCGATTGTATCTAACAATACATAGGGCTTCTATCGCCAAGTGGGACATCTGTTGTGAACTTGTAGTTTAGGTCAATGTGAAGAAAACAATTTTCTTCTACCATTTTGCGATCGTAAAAAATTTCGAATTATTAATTATTGAAAATAACCACGCGCACAGAGGCTTCTTTAACTAATAATTCAAAAATTCGCGTGGTTATTTGCAAAATGGTAAACTTTCTCGTTCACATTGATCTAAGCTACAAGTATGTGACAGATCTCACTTAGCGACGAACACTCCGTATAAAATAAACCTGACATGGGAAGGAACAACAAATAAGAGCCTTACCGTGATTATTAGCGCACAACTTTTCTATATTGCTACATAACTGCGACACCGAGCTCTTATTTGCAGTTTTCTTCGCGTTATACTCGTGAACTCCACGGGAGACCACATTTTTATCTACGAATGCATAATTATTATACGCGTACTGTGTGTTTTTCACAAGAAACTCGCACTAACATAATTTCGTTCCCCGGCTGTATCGCAAAAGAGATAATCAACCTGACCTGACTGTTGTCCTAACAAAGGCGGTTAACACGTAAACACCTAAAAGACGTAACACATGTAAAAGGTCGTCCGTGGATAAGCTGAGAGATTTTCCGGCAGCAAGGCAGATAAGACTGCAACTTGCCAGCGAAGAAAAATATTTTCAGTACAAACAAGCACACACAGCGTGTCAGCCGCTGATTTAGCTTCACTTGCGGCAGGCAGGGGCTTATTTGCGAGGAAAACACATCAGGCCGCCGGTGATTATCGTAAATTGCAGACGCGACGCAGCGCGATATCAAGGTATGCGATCGTAGATGCGATATAAAAGTTATGGAGAAAAGTATAGATAAAGCGCGCGCTCATGAGGTTATTTATACATCGGTGCATAACGTGACTATACTGTATTTCGTTCTACGAGGCGATTACATAATTACATAAATTTACAATAGCATACAACGCGAGTCGATACGTTGTCACTCGCCTCTCTCTCTCTCTCTCTCGTCTCTCATACCGTAACAAATCAGCTGGCGAATCCCCGGCATTTATTATTGCTAGCTAATAACAATGTAGCGACGCGATTATCAAGTTGTATATAATACATAGGGAAGTCGGTCTAGGCTTGCCGATACAGATGGTCGTAATAATCACGTATATAATCACCGTGCGTTTCTCTTTCCTCATGCTCGGATCATTTGTCGCGTCATGTTCCAATTGCGCCAAAAACGTCGGTGGCAAAGGACTGCAAAGCTCTTCTCCCTCGGTGAGCTCGCAGAGAAATGCGGAGAGTGGGAAAATTTACTTCCCGAATATAACTGGGAACTGCTGAGATCATCTTCGCCTTGATTACAAAGAAATGCACAGTTTTCACACGGCTCAACGGGCGATGGTGATGATGCTTAAGTACGTCTCGCTGCTCCTTCGCCTCTATCTGTATACATGTGCAATTAACGGAAATAGCTCCTACAATGCACACGCATCAATCTCCCGGTCGCTTTATCGAGCACGCCTAGAGACGTCAATGATAAAACTATCGTATAATATAAAGAGATAGAAGTTAGCCGCGCGAACGTCTTCCGCGCGTGCATCATCTTCTCTCGGTGCGCTCCCTATATGTATACATATTTACAATGTGTCTGTCGTCACAACAGTAACCGTCCGTCTGTCTGTCCGTCGGTGGTCGCGTTCGCTCAAGAAGCTGGGGTCGCCCTCAGTTCTCGCGAATATTGGCTGAAAACGCACTTTACGAATAGCAGCGACAGTGATCGCGAGCGGAAGTCAATAAATTAACAACGTAACCGAATAATATAATATATAATTCGTATATAATTCATCGTCATTATTATCATCCGACGCTATCATGCAATTATTATTCGTGGCCGTAATCGCTGATATCGCACGATAACGCAGAGATGTTCTCTCTTTCTCTCAGTATCGCGCGTTACCGTTCAATGTGTGAAGCTCGCAGTGTCTTCTAAATATTTCGCACAACTTTAACAAACGCGGGTGGCTTCTCGTTAATTACAGTAATTACAATAATTACGTTAATTAAAGATTGCTTACTTAAAATGATAACAAAATATTTTGTTATTGACGTATTGTCTCGTGTATACGTGTACAAGTGAAGTTAGTAGAAATTATGGTTAAATTATGATTATATTGTATATTTATCTCTCTCTTGTAAATCGATCGTTAAACAGCGCCAGTGTAGTATCCATGTACTTTGCGACAATCTCGACATAAATACATCTCAATTCGCCAATTTAACTTCATACACCAAAACCAACAAATTACTTTTGTTAGTAACGCACGTTGGGGCAAAGAAAAGCATATCAAATTATTTCCAATGTAAATGTGGCCCTACTGCGCGACGTTTCGTTGTAATTGTATGATATACGATCGACTTGGTCGCGTCGCAATTAGTGATATGACCCACTAGCGTATCTCTCGATCTCTCTTATATACACGTGCATGTATACGACGAGAGCTTGGTATACCAGCTAATTGCAATAATACTTTTACTTAATCTCGCTACTCGACGGCGCAACGAAATAGCCCGTATATCATGGCTTTAACGCGGGCAGAACTGCTCTCGTCGGATGAATTTGTACGTAAACAATAATCGCATATTCATTTGAAAATTTAATTTAATTCGTTCGGACCAAAAATACTCTCTCTCTCTCTCTCTCACACGCACACGTACATACATACGTCGCAATTTGCAGACAGCTGTTTGTCCATCGCTTACTTAGAGGTGTACACATACCATATATGCTTATCTAGAAAGTTTTGCGTGATTGCATCTGCGTCGTTAATCCGCGAACACTACACGTGAAGTTATTACGTGCAGCAGGTACATATAATATTGCCACTTGGAATCGGCGCACAAATGCGTAACAAATGTGCTTCGTTTTGAATCTCACCGTTTATCGGATTATGCGTAATCATATCTCACACGTATCCCTATATAAGTTTGTACGACATCAGTAACAATTAAAAAATTTTTCTTTCAAAACATATACATGTATCACCTAATTAATCAGGAACATGACGACAAAAAGGAATAACAGAAAAAAAGCAGAGAAATAGACAAGATCATCGGGAAATAACAGTAAAGCGTGAAACGCAGTGAACGTTGACGTCAACTGCCTCAAGGTTGATGAAAATGCACGTGAAGCAAGACGTACGTAATAAAGCTCGCGCCGACTCGGGCGCGTGCTATTGTTTCTCGGTAGTTAAAATATCTCCGCAGCGTAAAAATCTCCCTATAGTAGCTTCGTCTTGAAGCAAATTGCATGGCACAACAGTTGAGATTACTTCACCGGTACAGATCGTAAGCGTTTATCAATCGAAAAGCTCAAAGTCTCCCTCGCGACAATTTCTACTTCATTATGCAGGGAAGTCGAGGTCTCTCTTTCTCACATGTACACACACACACACGTGCATACCTGCTTGCCGATGATTAATCGTATCTTCGGATTGTTCTTTGGTCACCTCGAGATACTTTGGTTAATCTACTTGCGGTACTTGTTTATCACAAAAGCTAACAACTACTTTCCGTCCTTCCGTCCTTCCTTCCTTCCTTCCTTCCATTCATCCTTTGCACGACAAGTAACAGGTAAGATCGTGTCTTCTAGCAAAAATAACGGGAGTGAGGAGAGGGGGGAGCAGACTATTGTCTAATCACCGTAGGAACTAACAGCACGGTCCTCTCGCAGAAAAACACGATGCGAACGCGAAGCCCTAATTTCTCTCGTCAGAGCGGTAAAACTCGTGACAGACGCACGCGAAAGTGAATACACGTAAAACGTTATATAAATTTACAAAAATCTGCAAAGACCTTACACGTGTTCCATCTCTAATGGTCATCTGCGCGACTCGTACACTGTGAAAGTACTGTCCACGAAGCCGGCCGCGAAGGCCACGCGATGCGGGTGGAAATTCAAACAGCTCACAGGGCTTATGCGCGTACCCATAAAGCCCTCGTGGAATTTTATCGTATTGAGGTGTTGGCCTGAGTGATTGTAGACGCTAATGCAGTGATTCGTAGTGCCGCTAAAACAAGAAAGAGAAAATGCGTTTTTCCCATTACCTCAAGAAACTAGCGAATATATTATTGTCGAGATGCAAAAAGTTAAAAAAAGAAGTAATAAAATTCAAGAAAGTTAATGATCTATGAAGAGTTACACAACGCAGAGTGCTTCAGACAAATTTGATACAATAATATGAATAGGTCATTCATTGCATTCACTTACCAAGCAAAAATATGGGCCGCTTCGTGCGCCGTCAGTGCCGCGATGCTCGGTGTTATCTGAATCGTGCTCACGGAGGAATTTTTTCGGAGGTCGAAAATCTTTATGTCGCCCGACGAAGAGCCGGTGAACAACTGAGGCGTGGATTCCTTCTTGAGGAACGTTCCCAAAACCCAGACGCTGTGTTCCCTCCATGTCATAACTCTTGCTTCTGCGGGAGGTAATCGACGATCGAACAGTCTAACCGACCCATCGCCGCAACCCAGTGCCATAATCGAGCCTGTAGGCAGAATTTCCAAGTTGACATGATTCGCGTTTATCTCACCTAAGTGACATCAAAATATAATAATCGGATTCCTTGCTTCCAAGCTATCTCGTACATACATTCGTGTGATTTTGAAGAGGCCTTGACTTAAAATTAGGTTTTCAGGCAAATTTCATTATCTCGAGACTTCTTAAGATCCATTCAGGAAATACAACGGTTGTAAGCGCTATTGTCATTGGAATATTCGTTTAGATCTACCATGGATCTAACAGAATACCTTAATCAAAAGAGATAATCATTCTACTATCGCACACCCTTTGTGTTTTCTGAATTCACCGTTAGAGATAGTGTCTACGATAATAAATCTCGGAGCGAATTATTGGCCAGATATAAAATATTAGAAATTTACTAACACCCTACCATCTTTCAAGCATCTACTAACACAAACATCAGATATCGATCCGAGATCTATCATCATGGACACTATTCCTTAGTCTTTTTTCCTCGAACAACCCACCTGCGCCGTCAACGTCGATGCAAGTGGTGCAACACTCCGCGCCCGTCGGTATGTCTTGCTTCTTCAGTTCGGTTTCAGCGTCCCACAACCGCACAATGCGTACGTCGCCCGTCACCGCCAGAGTGAGCGACTTCTGTTCCCACTTCGTGACCAATCCGGCCGTCGCTGGAAACACGTCACGGGCAATTTGCCGTGATAATTTTCTGTCTATCCATTTGTTTGTTTGCCCATTCAGTCCCGATATTTCCCAATACACACCACTGGAAGTTCTGGTCGCGGGCTGTACATCCGCTAGGGCCTGCCAAGCGGTGAGTAAAACCGGATCGGGACTGATCGTGCCGCAGTAATTCTTCCACACTCTCACGGAACCGTCGTCGGAGCCGGCCATCAGAAGACTCAGGTCGTGAGCGTTGATGAACTCCAGTGCGGTGACGCGCGACTTCCCTTTGTTGCCGCGACTCGCGCAGTACGTCAGCCTCGAGCCGCTCTGGTAATCCCATACCCTGAAAGAGTTTTCACGTCAGTCGCACGCTGAGAATTCTCTTCTCTGTCTTCACGCCTCAGGCTCTATCGGACGTTCTTTGCGACGAGGAAATTCGAATACCCGAAGCTATCTTTCAGCGCTACTGCCAGATGCGACTCGAACGGATGAAAGACCAAGATCTGGGGCGACTGCGGACACCTCGCGTGACACACCTGCGACTCCACCTTACTTTGCGGGGTGCGCAGTTGCTCCTTCGCGTCGTGCCTCTGCTTCTCGTTGCGTATAAATCTGACAATAGTAACGTCTCTCGTTAAAGCATAAATTGAATCCTAAGTGAATGGTAAAGACGTTTGGAATATGAATTAATTCGGGCTTACCGCCACTCCCGCTCGAGATACGGCTTGCTCTCCACATCGTCCATCTCGTCCTCCAAACTAGCGGGCTGGGCAAACTGTGAGCAACTCCATTCCACAAACTGAGAGGTAGTCAACGGCGTCTTGAATCCAGGCACTTCATCCGTCTCTTCAGATATCTGTAGAATTATAATCATTGTGTTGCAATATACAAGAAAATGACAAATTTCCACATCGTACACGACGATTTCATGATAAGGAAAAAACGACTTACCGTGTTAGGAACTGGTTTCCTATTGCGACTACTGTGCGGCAAAGCTCTCGAAGAACGCAACAAGTCCGTTCCAGAATTGACAACAGGCGGTGGTGATTCTCCTTTGCTATTACTAATACATACAGAAGATTATCATTGTGACTTAAAATTAAATAGATATTACATCTTGCAAGAGACAGGACTGTCCTGACTGACCTTAAATAACTAGTTCGATTCGACGGAGACGGCGGGAGAGACAACGAGGATGAGATTTTCGCTTCGGTTACTTCTTTTGGCGCCGAGGATACCTTCATCTAATAATTTTAACAGTATCATCAGCAAGTGTATCATCGGTATACGAGCAAGTTCTCTCGGACGGAGCTTCCGATACATTACCTTGTTACGCACATGATTGGTAACTTTGTAAGACATAGCACCGACCACCGGATGAGGATCGTTGTCAAGACTGCACAAACCGTGCCACAATTTCATGTACACGCTGCCGTAGGAGAGACTCGGTAAATTTCCGAGTGAGCTGTGACCTGCGATATCAACAGAGTGCAAAATTCACGAAGGACGTCACTTTGAGCGTGGCAGGTACTTTGCTTAGAGAAAGAAGGAACGAGAGGCGTCGCTATCATACAAAGCTTGTGCGAGAAAAGTAATACTGAGAGAGTAGTCTAGCTTCCAAAACGAAGTATGGACTATGTACGAACATGCAACGAAACTTCCAATCATTATTACCAAGTGACTCGCAAGGTTTCCTCACGAACTCCCAATTATTACCTGGCACACGAAAGAATCAATGCAAATAATTGTTATCCAGTACTCGAACGCAAGTATAGGGTGGAACAGCATTCGTTCGTCATTGTATAGGTGAAGCTAGCATAAAATGAGAAATGAACGCCACACCACCCCATGTGATAAGTTTTGACACTTATTATTAAGCTTACACACCGCCAGTGTCTTACCTAGACTGCTAATGGACGACGAGGAAGACACCCTCTTAATGCGATCTTGCCCGAATCCGTCGGTCGTGTCTATACTGTACGTATTATTGGGGGACAGCATTTTTAACTTGTCTCGCGAACTAATGCGCCTCATGCCGCTGAACGGAGACAGAGTTTCCACAATGAGGTCCTTTCGACTGTGCTCCTCGGCCAAGGCTAGTGTCACGAAGGAGTTCTCGAAATGCAGCACCATCCATTGAAGAGCCACTGCTAATTCCTGCAACAGCAATCGCGTGACTCATCGACGTCGGCGGTGCGAGAGTCTCGATTGATTATAGATCTCGCGATCTCGACTTACTTTTCTAACTAAGGGAGACATGTCATGAGACACGGTATTGATAAGAGTCATGGCTATGAATTGATCGATATTATTCGCGTGCTCGCTTCTGGTTGTAACGCTGTTTATAAATGTGCCCAATGCATATACACTAGCCGCCCGAACCTGTAACAATGAAAGGTGAGAGGTCAACATTACGCGTTAAAATCGATGAAAAAATATACCATTAATAATAAATTCTAACAACAATGTCAGAGTAGCGGTGATTTCCAATGAAATGCAACGACGATTTCGATTCGATTAACAATCACGAAACAATCTATAAGTCGTTAAGAGCGTCGGCATTATCGGCAAATTCTTCAGATGCTCCACAATCAACCCGATGATCCTTGCAGTATTCAGAATTCAAGTCGTTTACCTCTGGTACGGGATCCTTCAGTAAATTGAAAAGCTTCTCGTGAGCAATATCCCTGACGCCGCACCATCTTGCTTTATCGAAATTGTGCCAAAGCCGCGCCAAACACAAGCACAGCCACTGCCGTAGTAACGGGTTCGTGTCGTTCAGTTGCTCCAGACATATCGATACGAGGTTACCGTGATTCGCGGCCACCTGACCCGGCCGGTAATCGTTCACGATACTGGCCAGTACGAATGCCGCTAATGTTCGGTGCTCGCTCTGAAATACAACGGTCGAAGGTGCTTTCGTTTACGAGAGATTTTTACCTGCACTGTCTGAACGCGACTGTCGGATCAAATAAGATGTAATGCATGAATTACCGGAGTAGAGGTATCCTGCAGCACCGACAAGAAGTATTTATGGCCACCGTCGCGCACGAGATCCGCTTGACAGGTCTGCGATTGAAAAATTTTACGTACTACCAAGATACATTTCTAAATTGAGACGTCGTGCGGATGATGAAACGGTGCGAGGGTACTTACGTTATCCACCGCCAGGATCTTCGCCCAGATGAAAACGAGCAACGGCCGAAGCTCCCTGGCGTTGCTTTGTAACAACTTCAAGACGTACGGGAAGATTCCCACGCTGAGTGCTAAATTCACCGCCCACGGACCGAGATCGAGGAAACGCCCCAACAGCTCCAGCGCTCTCAGTCTATGAACCTGGCTGAGCAATACTTGAAGGACTATCGGAAGTTGTTCGGGCGGATTGCGACTCTGCGAGCCCAGAGTGAGCCACACCTGAAACGCCGTGAGCTGATCCTCGAAGAACGACGAGTGCACGTAACGATCCTCATTGTCCAGAACCGTCGGCAACTGTGCCAAGCACAGGTCGAGCGCCATGTCCCAAGCTTGCCACATACGATGCTAAGGAGATATGTATGATACGTACAGAATGTGCAACGGTACTCTTCCATTCCGGATTCGGAGCACAATTCGCCAAAATGGGTGAAACTCACCTGATAAGTGGGCGGTAATTTCGGGCAGGAGACCGGTGTGCAATCGTAAGAGCGAAGTATTCTCTCAGCCAATAAGAAATTCCTAAAGAGACTAGCAACCAACAGATCCTGCCTGAATAACCTTTGGAACAGATCTGTAAGCGAGGCGATAATATTTTGCATTACCTTGTCGTACTGCTCCATTTCAATGAATCTCTGCAATCAAGAACACTCACCTCTTGGTAAAGTGTTCCACGCTATTGTGTCGGTAATGGCGGTGAATATCCAATTAAGCTCGCCCAACATTGTTCTCCTATCGGTCAACTGTCCGGGAATTCTGAAACGTTCAATTTGAAAATTCGTGTGAGTGGATCTTCACGGGGAATATAAGCACAGAACAACGACACGATAGAATCTTACTTATCGAGGAGATCAAGCGATATGTTGGGAACCAAATTGGCCGTGCTCTGCATCGCGAACCTGCGTGACAGAAAATACACCGCTAATGAATATAGAAGCCCTTCGTCCTCAAGCACTTTTACTCGATAATTCTCACCAACGTATCGCGATTTTTATCGGCGTCGTGAGGCATGATGTAAATATATCCGCGGGTAGATTTGGATTCATCGGCAAGATCTGATTGGCCGCGCATGCCGCCAATTGGATGCAGTTCTTGTAGCACGGTGCCGCGGGACCTGCCACACCTGTCGCGCGATTCTGCTGTTTCTCCATCTAGGAGGAGAAACACCTGTTAGATCCGCCAATGTGCCATTTTTTCTGATACAACTGCACTTTCAAGAAAACTTTACATCCTGCATTTACCTCGTATTCTTTCTCGTGCTGATCAGCAAATTGTTGAAAGGATTCTACAATAATACCCGCGTTAGAACAGTCATACACATAGATACTAGGTGCACCCATCCAAGTCTGTAAGTCGTAAACCGACAATGGAATGTACTGCGTATATGTCTGTAACAATGAACAGTGTGAATGCAAATATCAGTTATTTAATGGGAAAGTATAATTACAACTTGAATTCTCCGTCTGTTTGCACTAACCCTGTTGAACACCCAGATTTCACCATTAGTGGTAGGTTTGGGCACCCCGTGACCATTGTAGTGAAACAGGACTCTCTCCTCCTTGGCATTACGTCTTAAAGACGTACACAGTTTTTTAACTTCCTCAACAGTTGGGTCTAAACTCTGTTTGTAGCGTGCTCTCGGTTGCCACCGTTCGTACTGCTTCTGCAGATTCGAGCCTATGGTCTCGAGAGCTTTCTGAGGGCTCACTGACAGAGGATCTAAAAGGATGTTCACTTTAAAGTTATCTATCCTTTAATTCACATTTGCTTAAGTGCTAAATAATTAATCAAACTCATGGAGGAACAATGTAAATTACTCTAGGAATACTTTGACAAAGTCAAAATAAAGAAAAAAAAACAGGATAAATTAGTCGCCGAGAAAATTAATATTATAAATTAAATTAATATTGATATATTAAAATAATAAAATTGAAATCAAATGACAGATGGAGAGAACTCGATTTCGGCTCGACACCTGGCGGAGGCTTGCGCAAGTCGCGCGTACGAAGGAACCGCACACGATCCGCAGCGTGCTCACGTCTAACCTCAAAAATCGCAATTACATAACAACACACGGGATCCTCTGGAAGAAATGGGGGGAGAAGATGTAAATAAAGCTACCTATCCAGCACTCGAGTCGCGCACAGGGTTGCGTCTTGACGATGTCAGGCGGATCGACGCCGACGTTCAAACACAATACCAGGGCCACGCTCACCGTCTTCATCTAGAAAAAAACACACGTGCGCAGTTATATATCGATTTGCAATTGGCATACTTACATCGGCGAGAGGAAAAAGCACTATCTCTCTCTCTTTCTCTCTCACTAGTTAAAATCTATGAATTTCGTCATATCATATATCGTAATGTTTTCTCGGCCACGTTTCTCTTTGCGTCGCCAGCACGTAAAGTCCGAACATGCACCAGTTGCACCGTCTGTGTCGTTTGCGCACATACCCGCTCTTTCATCCGCCAGGTTTGACTGATGTAATTTACGCCTTCGATGGTGCCATTATGACGAGGCTTACAAAAGGCTAGCTGCATTTGCCAGTCTTGTTCCGAACCGGCCCGTCTGGACGAGCTGCTCGTTGTCGTGGTCGTCGTGGTTGTTGTCGTGCTCGTAGTCATTGCTGTCGTCGTCGGCGAAGACGCCTCGTAGCACGCCTTCATTCTAGCGTAGCTCACCGACATCCTCGTTGTGTCGCGATTGCAGGCACTGTGAGCGAGGGAACGCGAATTCGCGATCACACCGGACAGTTAGCGACACGCTGGCTGACACTGAGTGTGTGATCGTGCACACATTGGCCGATATTCACCACGCGGTCGGGATATAAAAGCGTCCCTTACGAGACGCGACTCGTCAAGTTTGTTGCACACGCCGCCATCTTGAAAAGGGCCATGCATCGTGGGATCGATGTATAGATGCACACGATTCTACGTGTCGATTATCATTTCGTTCGGATCTTTCGAATCGATTAATCGCCATGCTCGATTATGTTATTACGAGTTACAGAGTAAAGAAAATTTCTCTGATCTGACGACGAGTCGGATTACAGTTGGAAATAAAAATCCGTCCGTTCGGTGACGATGCTGCGTTCAAATTATGATGGAGATTATGGCTAATTAAAACCAATCACTTTAATCAAAGTATCATTACAGCATTACAATAATTTTTTAACAAAATGTTCGCATATCGCGGCTGCCGACGAAACAGATCCCGTACATCGACATCATAACAACCAATCGTCCGAATGACGGTAATATGAGAAACGACACCTAACGTGCCGTCCGTAACGTATTTCGTTTCTTTTTATTAGATATTCGGCAGATAAATACTTTTGCATCACGATATTGCGATAATTATATTTCTTTTTTTTTTTTTCGAGTTAGACTATTCTTCTAGCCTAGAGTATCTTGTACAAGCGTTCGTAATAGTATACCTGCCCATCTAGTGACTTGGTTCAAAATTTTCTAAAAGAGAGTTTCTACTTATCAATGAATTATAAATATAACACACCACGTATAAAAGAATCTCTCAATTTGGTCGTGATTTAATTCTGCTTCTTAATAAAGCCCCCTCGCCTGGCGATTTCCACGTGTGTACGTTCGCATTTGTGTGTTACGGTGTGTGAGTGATTAAGAGCGAAAGAGAAAGATATAAAGGGAAATTATATCGGTGTCGTCGTAAAATTAACGGATGATCCCGTGGAATACGACATATAGAATTAGAATGCATAAATATAGAACAAATCATGTAGAATTAGAATATATTACATATACATATAGAATTCTCTAAAGAATCATCACCGATCTTCTAAAAGCAGCAAATCAATTCTCCTTCACTCCTACAACATAATGCGAACTAATATAACATACAATTTCACCTCACATTTCGTGTAAGTATAAAGAATATATTATGCGGTATATTACGATCACACAATAGTGACACACTAACGCTTTAGCGTTAAGCAAGGACGTACGGTAAATCATAAAAAGGCTATCAATCGATAACTTTCATATTCGAGGCCTTAAAAAAATATCAAATTCTTTCATGTATCACGTAAGAGCGACGCTACCACACTATTGCACGCTACACATATTCACAGCCTATATATACATCTTCGTAATTTCTTCCACGCTTATATACAACGTTGACCTAGCGATCCGCAAATTCTTTGGAAAGATCACGCAATGATTTGTCGTATTTTATTTTTCCTTTTTATGACACGTCGATCTTCAAGTGATGTTACTTAATATCTACTTAATCGCAGCAACGAGACATTTGACGGACCTCTTCGCCACCAACACCGTGGAATTTGCCGACGGGTGTTCCCCCGTCTGGCACGTGTTTCCGCAATGCTACTTCTCGCAGACACTCTTGCTACAGTAAGTTTAGTGTCGTCTCTCATCCTCGGAAGGTCTTTGCTCCTTGCTCATACGTCACTGATGCGTTTGCGGATTGTTAAGTGGTTTATACCCCTGCAATAAACACGTTGCACGTTACTTGACGATTCATTCGAGACGATGCTGAGAAACAATGTTAGTCATTGGAAAGTGTCATTACGGCTTAATCACTTTTCTAGTTCGATCCGACTACACGTGGAGTAAGCAACTAGAAGAATGAGCGAGATTGAAAATCATGAGAAAGTGAAACAGAAAGAACGAAAAGAAAGGGAGAGAAAAATTAGATCGTACTGCACTTTTAATAACGGAACAGTTATACAACGGTAGGCCGCTTAATTCGCATGGTCGATATTTGTCAGTGATTCATGCTGCCGTAATAGGGCAAGCGTAGAATTATCCCTTTGCCTTTGGGCCTTACAGTATTATTGAACGAGTCGCGCAAGCGTTCAGCAAACGTTTTGTACTCCATCTCTGGGTTATTTTGCCCAAAGTCGAAGTCAGCGACTTCCACTGTGAACCTTGCTCTGCTCTGAATATAATACGCCACACCGAACACTATCAGCACCACGGCCACGAGCGTGCAAGAAACCGGCACTACAATGACCGATAGCTGTGGCTTCGTCGTGACTGTAAGAATAAGAAAAAAACAAATCGTTATCGTTATCTCGCGGATAAATCAAAATTCGAGAACACTCGGTAGAAATCGATACGCTATTGGTTTACCTTTGTAAATGTTTATCGTTAATGGATAAATCTGCGTGCTAACTTCGTTGTTCAGTACAATTATTATCGTGTAGACGCTGGGCTCCAGGAAATAATGGATGATGGAGAAATTACAGGTGGGCAAGGGTTCCACATTGTCGCACGTCTCATTGCCCGTGATATTGTACTTGCCGCGGTGGAACAGAAGACACTTGTGGAAAGGTCCCGATCCTCTGCATGTTATGTTCAGATTCAACATGTCCCACGGTTGAATCCAATTCGTACCGTCCACTGAGATGTTCGAGATGGGAGCTGAGGAAACATTTGCATAGATATTCAATGAAAGATCGTAAATTCAACGGACGTCAGATTCCGGAGAAAGTACCGAATTAAATCAAATTGTAAGGAGGGATTTTCCCTTAAGATAATAATAATGCGTCTTAACTGACCACGGACATTTATCTTTTTATGGAAATATCCATATGTATTGTTGGGATCCGGCGGAATGAGAGATGCATTCGAACAGATGTAAGGTAAAGACATGTTGGCGGCGTCTATCGCGCTTGCATTCGTCGGCGACGCGGTAGTCGCGGGCTTCAACGTCGTAGGCTTTACAGTTGTGACAGTTGTCGGCGATGCGGTTGTTGTCGCAGGTGCGATAGTTCCATTTGGGCTAGTTGTAGTATTGTTCGGTGCGACTGTCGTTATGTTACCGGGTACGGGCGTAGTGGTAGTGGTAGGTGGTAGGACGGTTGTGGTTGTTGGAGGTATGTACGAAGCAACTACCAGAGCTCCTACTTCGTGCGTCGTGTCGGGACCCGTAAAATTATATACGAATGCGAAGTCATTTGTTTGACCGTAATATTTGCAATCGACAAACCAATATGTCGATATAGACGTGGCGTTTTTCGTTATGAAATCGTAATCTCCTTTACGCATGTCTATCATTAATTTTGTCTCATTCACAGAGGAAACATATTCCCCTGATATGGTTTTATTGCCCTGCTCCATGGTCATGTTACCATTGAGGCATTCTATGATTAGAACAAATGATAAAGATGAAACATATAATATTTCAGAAGCAGAATTTACACGAGGCTTTATCGACACAAAGCTTACCGGAGATTTCAAATTCGACACGAGCGCTTGTATCATGCAACCACACAAATGGAAAATAGTGGTGTTCAACTTGTATCTCCATGATATATCTGCCAGGAACATTAATTTGTCGTGGATAACTTAAGCTCCAAAATGTTGTAGTATTTGGTATCCCTTCAGTCTAAAAGAGTAACAATATGCAAAGTTCACTATATAAATTATGATAACAATATAAAATAAGTTTTCATGCAATATTCGAGAGAAATGACAATAGCTAAATAAATATCTACATTTTCATAGGAGAAAAGTAGTTTACAAATTTAAATTAAATATATATCCAATGTTATTCCTATGTTTAACAATACTTAGTATAAAAAAATATAAATAAAACAGTTTGGAGCTTGAAAGCATCGAGTAACCTTTCGCTGACAGGTTCGCTGGAAAATAACAAATAATATATTATCATAACACCGACCTGATACTTGTGATTTTCTAACGAATTATCCTGCCACTTGTAATTGAAAATGCCTCGTGGTCGTTCGCCGTCATCCCCGTACAAGTCAGCTCTAAAGGTGATCGTGCCGCCCAACACAACAGGCCCATCGTGTGACAATTTGACATAGTCGGCGGTAACTACAAAACGACGTGTAACAAACGTGTACGCACAATAGCATGTCGCGTAGCACGGAAATACGAATAACGACAGGAATATGACTGATGCAACAATGACACTTCAACGTGATACAAGAGCAAATATGTAATCGAATATGTTACGATAAGATACTTCCAATCGTTACCTTGTAAGAAACACCAAACGCTCCAAATGAGATGACAATAAAAACACACTATCTGCATACTGTACATTATCGGAGCGTCACATTCGCTCTTGTATTCAGATTGCTGTGATGTTCATCAGACGCAGACAACAATCCTTCACAGCTCCTTACTGATTCGCCATTCTGCAATCTATTATCAACAATAACGACAACCGGTGCTGCCAGTCGAAGCAGCAGCTGATAAAGCTACGATCGGTAATGTCGCCTTCTTCACGTTCTGTTACTCTGCTTATCTAAAGTGGATAATCTAGGTGAGTGTTTACATTTTTACAGTCATGTGCGGTACGCGAAAACAGCAGCTGTTATGTGACACCTGTTGAAAATAAATTTGAAGTATTTCCGACCTTTCCTCTTCCGTCTCTCTCAGTTCCTATCTAACACAGTTTGTAACGGATTACTGATGTGAAGTGATTACAATGTCAAGAAAGATTTACACGAAATTTCTACCAATTGTCCAACGTTGCAGACTGATAACGGGATTCAATTTCGACAGTACGGTGAAGCGCAAGTATGGAAAGTCATGCTCCTTGTACAACAATGCGAACGGCACATTGCCCGTGCACGAAGAACTGCAGGGAATTTTCAAATTTAGAAACACTAAAGTCAGCAACTGGATCATAGAGGTTTTTTGTCGCAAACTATATATATCTTTTTGTAATACGTAGCACAGAAATAATTTCTCTGATTAAAAACTACATCAAGGAAATTTGCAGAACAAGGCACGCACTCTATGTATCCGGTATATCGAAAGTAACAAGGAAGATCGTCGACAGATCTTGCATACATTGGCTGTACAATATTCTGTCCAACATGATAACATATGTCAGGTAGCCAGGAAGTTAATCTGCACCAAGGTATACTATTTCATGTGAGTTATACGTGTCATCCTGATTAAAGATTAAACCATTGTCAAAATTGATAAAATATATTTTTTTACTATTACTTTGTCGGATGATTAAGTGTATGTACAGTGGCTACAAGTAGATAATGTTCCTTAAAAAATATGTTATATACAAATACATTGACATTTTGATTTTATCACAGCCTGAGAATGAAAGACAAATGATTACCTATGAAAGAACTTTGAAAGATATTCTCACACCAGCTTATCACTGGTTGTTTGTTATCATAGGAAGATTAGAGCATGGTGTGAAGTTCTTAGTTGACCTGAGAACTGATGTTTTGGTAAGCAACTAAAAGAGGAACACTTATATTTATAAATATAGGTATTCTATCTTATTTATAAGTTTTATTATAAAGTGATTGTCTCTTGCAATGCCAAGTTGAAGTTCTGCCTTTGAAGACTCTCTTTTACTAGGAACTAATGGCAGAAGTAAGCAATGCAGATGAAAGTATAATAATACAGCAATTAAATCATACCCTGCGAGATTTGTTTCTACTTTGGTTTTCAGTAGGTTTCTTGCATATGGAACGAATAACATGGGAGAGCTCGTGCGACATATTGCAGAAGGTCAGTGACCCTTTTTATGATTATCTCACAAATATACGAGGAAATTTTTCAGCTTACATGACTGATAGCATTGAATTTGTTGCTTGAAAAATCTACAGGTATCAGATTATGAGGCTATACATCCTATGAAAAATTGGTTGGATTTAAAACGCAGAGTTGGACCATACAGAAGATGTTACATATTTACACATCCATCCATGCCGAGAGAACCGATCGTTATGTTACACACAGCATTATGCGACATTATTCCAGGTTTAATAGAACGATAAATGCGTTCGATATATTTCTTGAGAATCGGTAATTATTAATTTTTTTTATATTTTGCAGATAGTGTGAAAGGTATCGAAGAAGCCGAAACTAGAATCTTGGGAAACGCGAAAAAACGTGTAACTTTTCTGGAAGAAGACAAAACTAAAATAAAAGCTGCAATATTCTATTCCATAGCGTCTACTCAGAAAGGATTGCAGGTGGTTAATTTGTAATGGGAACTTGATTTATTTAATAATATATAAAAATAATGAGTTTTATATGCTCTACAACTTAAGTTAATAAATTATATATGTAAAATAATGTTTTTGTACAGGGCATTGAACTTGGTAATTACCTCATAAAAGAAGTAGTCAATGAAATCACAACTGAATTTCCAGTCATACAGTTATTATCCAGCTTATCACCGATACCTAACTTCAGAGCTTGGTTACTCGAAAAATTAAAGCAAGGTAATTGCCAATTATTACAAAATTGTAAAAAAAGGAAATAATTAAGGTGATCTATAAATATATTTTTTGTCTCACACAGATACGAAATATATATTCACCATGCAAGAATACGAAATCATGAAAGATACTTTAAAAACAGAAGATGTAGTATCAGCTCTAAAAAACATTCTAGGAACATCATTATGGACGAGCAATAAGGAATTGTCAACATTTTTAAAGGAACCACTACTTCGAGCATGTGCCTGGTATTTATATAAGGAAAAAAGACGCGGCTATGCCTTAAATAATGTCGGTACGTTCTACACTTCTTTTCTCCTTTACGATCAATTATAAAGGCATAAGTCAGATATAAATACAACTATCAATGAGGCATCAGTATATTGTAAAAATAAATAATTCTTTTTATAGCAAATTTCCATTTACGTAACGGAGCTGTGATGTGGAGGATAAACTGGTTAGCCGATCCTTCACCGCGCGGAGTAGCTAATAGTTGCGGCATAATGGTCAATTACAGGTACACATTTGAGAATCAATTCTAACTGAAACAAAAAGAATATTAAACACAGTACACATAATTGTCATTACTTTCCGCAGATATTTCTTAGATGAATGTGAGAAAAACAGCCGGAATTATATTGAACACTTTGTTATAAATGCTTCGGAAAGTGTAATTAATCTGGCCACGCAAGCGGATAAATTAAGAGCTGTGCGATGACGTGTGCCATGAAAAATTATGCTGAAGAAATGCTGAAAAGAATAATGAGAATACAATATCTCTTTTATGAGTGAAAGATCGATAAGGTAATGATGATGAAGAATTATGACACACCGAAGGACGAAGGGTGTCTAATTCATTGATAAGAAAATTTGCTTTATTACTCTTCAAATTTTATGTTTTTATTAAAGATTATTAAATTTGTTCATTTATACAATAGCTGATTCGTTTCCAGCTTAAAGACAGCACAATGGTCTGCAGACAAGTCTAGAACAAATAGAATATATAATTTCAATTATAATTTAAAAATTATTTGTGCGTTTCTTTCTTACAATAAGGAATAATTAGAAGGATAATAATTGCATCGAAATAAGATCAGGAGTATCGAATTATACGTGATTATAATATTATTCTTTTCTCTCCCTTTCTCTCGGATAATCGTATATATATGCTAGAAATTTTTATACAAGAGGAACAAAAATAAAATCCAGTACATACCTGTAGTCAAGGCTGAGTTTGGTGTAAGTTCGTGGGAAGATGAGGTCTACTTTCTAGTTTCGTGTAATCCAAATGGAATTCCTTAGCTACCTTTCTCCAGTTTTGCGCATCGAAGTAATAATAAGTACCACGTTCGTATGTCGACGTCTTTTCTACAATTCCCATACCTGGCGCCTGCGTTATCCAAACCTTCTCTTCCATGTGATATCGCCATTCTCTGCTATACCTTCGTATCACACACAGAATTCATATAGGATTGTGAGTATACACGCTGATATTACAGAATCCCCGAAAAATTTAAGATGTTCCTTACTGCTACTTACAATTCCGCCGCCGCCGCTAATTGCAATACATCCCCAACATTTGTATAAAACATATAAAACAGTAAATCGTCTTTATATCGATTTAGTTTAACTGGCGCTAACTTATCCCTGAAACAGATAAAAAAAAAACACTTGATACCTCCCTTTAATCTCATTTACTACAACAAGTATAGAGATAAAAGCGTCGATAAAAAATACACGCGAGATAAGGTGCATTGAGATAGATTGAAAAAGTGAGTATACCTGATCGCGGCATTTATAAGATACTCCGGTGGTACATGAAAGTCAATATCCTGTGGTCGACAGGGTGTTTCTGCCCAAGGACCACCGAAGTTTTGATAGAGATTTTCCGGCGAGTTCAAATTCAATCCTAACGCAGTAAGATCTTGACCTAACGCCAGCGACACCAAGTTCGGGTCTGTCTCTGCCGCTCTGATAAACGTTAAAAGCCCAACCATTCCGAATTGATCCTTCACCATACTTGCAGGTATGTTCGTCACCTTGCCTACGTGTGACAATAGCATAAAATTAAGCATCCTCGCATCCGCTGGCTGGCTCATAATATGGTTGGCTTTTTTCGTTTACCGTCCGGCGATGTTTGAATGCCTCTCTTAGAAGACTGAGATTTCTCAGACCCGGGCGCTCTGTTCGCCTGTAATACGTCCTGCCCGATCTCCGGACCCAGTCCTACAGGTATATTCTTATCACCAGATACGCTGCCACCGGGTGACGGACCCTCTCTATTCTGCGTACCCGGTAACGCGGGAAAGTCTTCCGAACTCATAGTAAATTCACTCGGTTCTGATGTCGGTTGCTTCACCATTCCAACTGTAACGAGCACGAGTAAGAATTACAACGACGAAATAATCCGCCTTAGATCTGCCCACAAATTAGGATACGAACGATGCAGTTCTGTTTACAGTGAGAAAGTATACTTTTTTTTTCTTGTATGTTTCAAGTCTTAACATAGAATGATTAGATACTGACCATATGGTTGCTTCCCTGGCATGGGACTAGGTTGTGGCATGGAATCACCTTGACCTCTATTTGTTAAGGAGGGAAACTCCGAGAGATCTAACAGAGGTGGAGTACTCGTGTCTCCGCCACCTCCACTCCCGAAAACAGAGTGGAAATTGTTCACCGCACCTTGAGATCCGTAATTACGACTTGGAGGTATTCCAAAACTGCCCATACTACCCATTGGATTCGAAGCTCTGCGAAATAAAGTCGCTGAGATTACTCTACGATGTTCGTGGATCACTTTCCCGTACAACGATAGAGGGGATCAAATTTCATGGATTTCTCATTGGGTATTTTTTTACATAATAGAGGAGAACTTACCCAAGAGCAGGCATCGTACGTCTGTCAGTAAAAGCTCTCTGCCCAAACAGTCCTCTACTGCCCATAGGAGAGAGTTGCTGCTGCTGTGGTTGGTGACTATTTTGTCCACTTCCGGAGCTAGACGCACCGGGATAAACGTTAGTAACGACTACCGCAGAATTGACCGTACTCGAAGTGCTTGCAGACGAGCCTGAGAACATGCCCGAAGTGGGCGTGACATGACCCACAAGGGCCGACGTGTTTAAACCCCCCCCGCCGCTTGTGCGTGAAGAAAGACTTGCGTTCGCAATACTGCGTGGTGGTTGTTCAAAGTTCAGGTTGGCCATAGCCCGATGGCACCACTAATATGAAACGTTTGCCCAGAGGGCACACACACCTGATGCACTTTTTGTTCAACAACCAATTATAGCACCTCTTCTAATACAACACTCACAAACTCTTCAATCTCATGAGATCGCTGATAACCCATGACAAACAATCACTTGTGACCTGGAACAAGAGGGATCGTGTAATTCCTCATTGATGAATAAAATGTTTATTGAAATTCACGTTATCACTCACCTCTTTATTGCAGTGTCTCAGTAGCAGTTACATCAAAACGTGGCACAGGGACAAAAACACACCTAATGAAAAACAAACAAACAATTCGTCACAACTTTGCTACACCTTGGTTATTCGACTAACTATTCACTTAGCTCAATCGAGTGCATTATCTATGAAAGTTCTACACTTCCTCTATACTAATCATTTAGAATTAAGGATATATGTCCAATTATCGAATTGTGCACTTCATCTATGTCCGTCTCATTACAAACAATCCCTACAAACTGGATATAACTACGATAACTACACACATGTCACCTTTACAAAGAAGTTATAGTACATATTTATTCAGGGTATAATGTCTTTATGCTCTGAATAAGTACATATCCCATCACACGCGACACCAAAAACACCAAAACAAAAGGTTCGTGTTAACCTCAAGACTCTTTAAATACTCGACACATTTACCGATGCCAAATCTAGCTTCTATCTCATCTGATTTCGTGAGACGTCGCGCGAAAAAAAAAACGACAGAACCCATATGTGCGATATCGGACGCGCGTGTGGTCCCGCCAACGGCGATTCTACCTTGCAAAAAGTGTACAGGACAATCACGCACGGTGTATCAAGCACCGGGCATTTCTCTCGAAAAATGTGAGAAATCACCGAAAGGACTGGCCGCGAATAGAAACTTGTGACGGCTCGTTCGCACGCCCGTAAACACGCACGGCGATATTGACACTAGGTATCGGTTACGGGTACGGGAATCGAGGTTGGCGAGCACAAAGGAGGCGGAAGGTTATAGCGCGCGTACGCGAGACGTCAAAATATTGAGGGAAAAGCGCGGCTTGCGGTAGCCGCGCAACACTACCTGCGACGTGCGCACCAGCTGCGTATCACGACGACGCGACGATGTCGAATCCCATCATCGCAGCCCGCGATAAACAAAGTGGACGGATGTTTAAACCGAAAAGGAAACGAAAGAGAAAAAAAAAAGAGAAACCACACACGCGCACACACACACGCGCGAAAACGTTCGTTGATGCGTAAACTCGTCGAGGAACTCTCTTCGCGACGACGATCTCCGTTCGCGAGGGGGTCTTCCGCGCGATCGGCGACAATTCCGTGGCGACCACGAAGAATATCCAGTCCCTCTCTCTTTCAAGCGCGCGTGTTTGCGAGACTCGCACGTGTACACGGCGGCACGAGGCGATCAGGATCTCATACACATCACAGTGCGTGCCCTTCGGTACACAGGAGCCACTGTTTTGTCACTCGTCAGTCAGTTTCACGAACTTAAACAACACTAGAGACACGAGCGTCTGCCATATTAACAATATCTCTCACGTTGTGCTCAAGCGAGCGACTCGGGGTGCGCGTCGGCGTGCTCCCGGCCGTGAACGCGTCGATAAACAGCGTGCGATAATTTCCCGGTGATATTACCCTCGCACTCGTGCGTCCAGCGTCGCCCGAGTGTCGGGCTACATCGTTACCACGGCGAAGGCACGACGGTGTTGAACTTGACTCACGACCGAGCGAGTCTTCGTCGCAGATTCTAGGGTATTCTTTTTCGAGCTAACGAGCGATTGTCAGCAAATCGGCGCACTTGGCCGCGAGAGGTCCATCGAGTGATCGAGAGCGCGTTTGCAAATTTCTTTGCGTACTCACCGGCAGTGTCGCTCCGACACGATTGGCCCGACGAGATAACGGTCCGCCATGTTGCGCGTCATGGAGCGCATCGCAGCAATGAACGTGCAGAGAGCTCTCGGATTTGATTGGTACGTACTTTTCGATCCGTTTACTATGCGAGAGCGCGAACCAATCGGATCTGAGAGCCCGCCGAGTGCTCGGTTGTAATGCTGGATGCACCCTTTGTTTTCAAGTCGACTCGTATCGTTCAGCGTGTATTCACTGAATGATCTATAGAAGGACAATTGCCAAGGTTTTGTGATAGCGTTTTATAAACATTTTACACTCGGCTAAAATATAAGTTACTTGTACTTCGCCAGGGCTCTGTTTGCGCGGTAATCGGTAGGTGAGATCGGATGAAGTATCGTTGTGCGCCAAGCTAGAAACGTTCAAGAGAAAAGGCATATTCGGCCGAAAAATGGCATTCACTAGGAGAGCCTCTCACGCTGGTAGTTGGTACGCGGACAATGGTAAGCGATGCTCGGACAAAAAGGAAGAAGAAGAAGAAGAAAACATTTTATTTATATCCCACACCGTCATTCGCGCGTGCTTGCAAATATGCTGGTCATTTTCGTTGTTAACGTCACTCACGTTCACAATCATTCGGTGAAATATGGAGCATAAAGAGAAAGAGAGAAAGAGAGATTAGATAAGATGAGAGATTTGTTTTCGGTTAATCGTAATCTTGGTTGTGTACATTCATTTATTTTCCGACTTAAAGTTTTTGTATTTGTTTTACATATGAAAGAAATAGGTATAGGTCGAAACGTTTCGCTCGCAGAATTGCAAAGTAATATGATGTTCCAATAAATTCAAAAATAGTTTCTGCATATTGCGTATGTTTCTTTTGATAAATATTTCTATTGTCTATATATACAATGTTATACCACTACTCGCTGTAGGTTCAGAATTGCGTAAGCAATTAGACGATTGGTTGAGCGCAGCAGACTTATCCCATGGACCTGCGAGAGCAATCATTGCCCCGTCAGTAATCACTTATATAATATAGTCACGCACACACACACATAAGTATTTTATCAAAATGTAATATAATTTTGCAGGCATGCAGGTTACAGTTATTGCGGGGAATGTGCTGGTTTTGCTTACCGGCAGATTAGTCCCGTAGTTGTGTAAGTGTTGGATTATGTTTGGATTACATTAATCTAGCACTATCTTAAGTTCATAAACTCAAGATTTTATTTCAAGTTCAGAGGTATATGGAAAAAAAAGATGCCTTAAGATTACTTTTATATTACTGTTATCTTTCATCATTTACCAAGTATTTTTATAATAAAATCTTTTTATTACAATTATAGAAAAACATTCATTTCTTTTTTTTTTCGAAATTATTATTTTTTCAATTGTTTTTTTTTAATGTATACAGAAGCATAGTAATGAAATGTATTTTATATTTTTCTTTTAATATAACTTTGTATAAAGTATAATTGTACTGTGCAATATATATAGTTTAGTTTGTAATTTTTGAAATTTCTCAGTCAAATGAAACGTGCAACGTGCTGTTATGCAGCCGTAGGATATTTATTCTAGGCCCCTCTCATCATGTGAGATTAACAAGTTGTGCCCTTTCCTCGGTTTCCGTTTACCAAACACCATTATATGATCTACATATTGATCAAAAAGGTACATGCATATATATATATATATATGTATATATATACCTAGATCTTATTTTGATCCTTAAATCAATAGCGTTAATCATCTATATAATGCTTAGCTTGTAACAGTTATAAGAGTTATTAGGTATATGTTACATAATCTCTTCTATAAATAAAATGCAATCCTTAATCCTCGCAATACCAATCTGATAGTAGTACTTTGCACTCGTGTAAATGGGAAGTACACGTAATGAGAAATGGTGTGGTATTGTAAGGATAAAAATTGGACACCTTCTAATGCGTGCATGTTTAATAGTGAGAAAAGAACTCGAGGAGACCGGTCACTTTGATTGGATGGATGTGAACACGGATGAAGAAGAGCACAGCATCGAGATGCAGTTGCCATTTATCGCCAAAGTTATGGAAGAGTACGTTTAGAGATAAATTAATTCTCAATTATAATTATAAATGCTGAAGATTGTATCTCACGGTGAGAAGTAACTGGAAGTGATACCTACATCATGCTTCTGTCCGTCACTAAACGACCAGGATAAAAAATGAGTATCTTATTCATGTGGCACCTGTTTCACATGTGCAGATTTAAGGACTCATTTACTATTATCCCAATTTTGGTGGGTTCCTTGAGTCCGGAGAAAGAAGCACTTTATGGGAGATTATTAGCGCCCTATATGGCCGATCCGCAGGCATTATTTATCATCTCTTCGGACTTCTGCCATTGGGGTCAGCGTTTCCGATATATTTACTACGACAGATCATGTGGGCCTATTCACAGATCTATTCAAAATCTCGATAAAATGGTATATATGTATTGCAGTCTCTTTGTTGTACATTTAACTTAAGAGAGAGCGAGAGAGAGAGAGAGAGAGAGAGAGAGTGAGAGTGAGAAGAGAGATTATCGAGAGAAATCTCCAATATCATTTTCACGCATATTTAACAGATCTTATCATGATAACAAATGTCTGCAGGGTATGAACATCATAGAGACTTTGAATCCTGCGATGTTCACCGATTATCTTAAAAAATACGGTAATACTATATGCGGTCGGCATCCGATTGGCATTTTATTGCAGGTAATATAGAAAACTAAGCGTGTTCACGTGCGAGTCTCCTCTGGTTCGACCTTAGTTTCTAAACTAACGTAACATTTCATGTATTTACAGCTAATTAACTGTCTCAAGGGACGTACAAATGGCCACAGGATGAATCTAAAGTTTTTGAAATATGCTCAAAGTAGTCAATGTAACAATATGAATGACAGTTCTGTCAGTTACGCTAGTGCTTCCCTGGTTGTCGAGTGATAAAGATATACCAATGAGTACGCTTATACATTGACATCTGAATATAAACACTATTAAAGTGGAATGGCGTTCAACGAAGCATGGCAGTTAACGTTTTATCGATTATTAAGCGGGATTAAGCGGGACGTCGAGATTTTGTAAGATGCAGGAAGAAAAATAGCACTGGAATATAACCGCTGTAACTTCTAACGTTATATTATTTGCGTTATGTAGCAATTTACACAACAGGTGTCGGGGTAAGCGTTACTTCTTTGTGTTACATGTAACAAATGGAAATGTACCGTTACCGAAACTTTTTGTATAAATGCATTTCGGTTTATTACTTACAAGAGATATTCAGTACTTCCAGATTTCGATAATGGGAAGGAGCTTAAATATTTCTTTGCTTTGATTAATGGTACATCTGTATAGATGTTAGTGCAAAGTGTATTTCACTCGCACCCGAAGAGCGGAGTTCAAACTATTGGCAAAGAAGAGAATATTGTTATCGCTTATATAAGAATACAAGACTAATTAGGATATATAATTGCATGTACATGTATAAATATATATATATGAATTTTGTTATCCTTAAATTAAATTTTAGCTTAAATTTTGTTACTTTTGTACTAACTCGCATTAGCATAATTGAAAAATTAAATGTTATAAGTTGGCTATAGATTAATTTAGACTGTGATTATATACAGAATATGCCACTGTTATGAGGGGTAGCACTTGCTTTTGAACTTCTGTGTATCGAATATTGGAATTTTTTACTTTGGAAGGTAAAAAATAATCTAGAGCTCTAAATAAATGCACTCTTCCTCGATCAAATTCAATTTGATGCGTCGTAAATGGAGCTGACGTATCTTATTTCACTACTTTATTGCGATCTCTTAAATTGCATCGAATGCACTAATGGGCCAATGAAACGTTTTATAAAATCTCTTCTGTGCCTTTAGTATGAATAATCTGCATCGAATTGTATCGCGATTGATACATCAATCAATACGAGAGAGTTAGGACTTAAAGTATATATATTTATATTATTTTTTTTTTTCTTTTCATACAAAGCAATGGAATGATCTCATATCCTTCCTATCCTATAATCTATTGTTACCTAAGCATAGGAAACTAAACCGAATAATTCGAATATTGTATTATTATATGGTGTAAGTCTGAAAAAAATGGGGTCAGTATATATATTATTGAAATGTATACACAATGAGTCTATAAATTTTTAAGAACGTGTTTATTTTCTCGTTACATTACTTAAAAACATTATTCTGCATACCTCAAATAATCAATTATCTCTTGAGTTATTTTTTTTTTAAAGGAATTTTAACTTGCTATGAACAAATCAAGGTACGAAACGAATGGCATGCAGTAAGCAATTTGCATTTCGCAGAGAAGTAATCCGTGACTTTTATTTCCTAAAAACGGGAAAAAAAAGGAAAAGATCATATGGAATTGTACACTGATCCTGCACATATTGCTTTTTCTATCTTTATATATTCCGAGATAATAAGGTTTATATTTATATGAAAAGAATCGTAGAGTAATCCATACGTACATTGTTTCATAATACATAGACGTGTAATAAAATTACATCACATAAAAATATACAAGTCTCTGTACATCTTGCGATAAACATCCTGTAACAATACATTCGTATGCAATTATAGCAAATCTCTCGCTGATTTGATTCCTCCGTTATCCACTAATAACTTGTTTAACATATACCCCCAATAAGAAGCACTCGTACCCCGCATCGTTCCTTGCCATTATTCCACGTATTATTGTCGATAGAAAGATTTGCAATAATTGAACACAATATCACCTATTTGTTCAGTCTTGTGCTGGTGTTCTGAACGAGGACGTCACATTTAAAAAAATATCGTACTGCTGATCCAGTCCCATGTAACAGTCGGAAATCAAGTAGAACGTCAGCTTCATCGATCCTGAAAGAAACGTTTCGTTTTTCACTTCACACGGGAAAACGCAAACTGCGAGGTTTTACAACTAAAATTTCATAACTTTACCTAATCGATTAGGCACATGAAATTGCAACTGGTGATATCTCTGTTGATCGTTCACACCGGACACCCTCTTCAACGCTAACAGCTCTTTATTGACAATTTCACCTAACACAAGGAACCAACCTTCGTCTTTTCCCTTCAAGAACATCGGAGAGTTCGCCTTCAAGGTCTTGGAATGATTGTTTCTCCTGAGCCCGACGATCAATGTGTAATACTCATCCTTCCGAACATCAATGGGTTCATCGTTATTACGCTTGAACTTGATTTTCTGCCTCGACACTTCGTTGTGCGTCATACTTTCCAGCGTTAGGTCAACGGATATTACCGGCATGTCTCTAATCGCTCGGTATATCTCCCGTATCTGATTCAACGTGTATTCCGCGCATAAAACTGTCGCGAGCTTGTCGCAATTGTCGCGCGTCACAATATGACACAACATTGGGAGCGCCGTTGACAACGACGAGAACAGTTGTAAATCTGTCGGCTTCACATGCGGTAACGTCGTGATCGCGGACTCGTCTATCCAACGTGCCTGCACGATCATTTGAAACAAGTACATCGTCGTGATCGTACTGGTTAACCAGCCACGTTCCGCGACCGTGTCGACCATCGCCTGCAGTATCCTGATCGCTTGATCGAGCACGGATTTCAAATCGGTGATGTAATCGCTGCACGGTGGAGGCAGCCTCGAGAAGTGCGATTGCAGCAAGAGAAATGCTTTCGTGTGCGGGGAATCGTAGGTGCACTGATCCACGGGGTAACGGCAGAGCTTCGCCAGTTCCTCGTTCAACAGTTCTTCGTTGTGCCGCACCGGCAGTTCGTTGTACTCGTGCGAGTTGCAGAGTATTCGTAGGCATTGGTCCAGCGTAAGTTTGTCGTTCAGCGATTGCGTGAACATCAGCATCGTGTGGTGCGATAGATAATAGAACGACGCTATCTTCCCTATCGGGAGTGAGAACAAGGTTCGCTCGTCCGTGTCGTAATCGATACAATGCGAATCCATGAGCGAGCGCAGGGTGCTTTTCACCAGCTTCGAGAGGTACTCGTTGATACACTGAGGCTCCAGAATGTCCAAGTCGTAATACTTGGGATTCTTCATCAATCTCCGGAAATAGTACGTCCACGTGAGGTAATCCAGAAACTCCTGTTCGTTTTTCATAGTACCAGCGACAATCTCCGCGTTAATGTGATCGGGCAACACGTCCATCAGGCTGGACTCCACGGGGAACGGCTCGTACAGGAACTTCTTGTAAAAGCTCTTCTTTGTGTCCTGCACGAGAACGACCGCCACCCCGGAGTTGTCGTACTGCGGCCTGCCGGCGCGACCCATCATCTGGAGCACGTCGGTGATCGGCATGTCCACGTAACGTTGCAGTTTGCCGTCGTAATACTCCGTGCCCTTGATCACCACCAGATGAGCGGGGAAGTTCACGCCCCAGGCCAAGGTGGCCGTGGTGATTAATACCTACGTATAATTTTACGAATCAATAGTCTAGACTAATATCTTTCTTACTAAACTACATCCTCTACTTAATTTGAGCAACTAATAATTTTATTAGTAAACTAACAGCTCTTAGTTGACTCTCATTAGCCCGTTAATTTCGTCTGATTGTACGAGACTCTTCACATACTCATCGACGATACCTGTATCTTACTATTGACGAATAATTCCTCCACGGTCTTCCTATCCCGGTCTTGCAGACCCGCGTGATGAAGGCCGATGCCGAAGGCGAGTGTGAGCTTCAAGTTGGTGTCCTTCACGTTCTCCAGGATGTCGGCCATTTGTTCCTCAGGCATGTGCAGCCATTGCTTGGGATTATCTTCCGCCGCGAGGTAAGCTATCAGGTCCAACGCGGTCAGGCGCGTCTGTCGTCGGGAGGACACGAAGACGAGAGAGGGACTGGACGGTGCGTGATGTCTGATCGCTTGGAAGGTCGGTCTGTTCATGGTCGCCATGCGGGGGCAGTACTGCTTGCCGGGGAATCCGCTGATATGTACCTCCAGCGGCACGGGCCGGACGGAAGGACGGAAATTGTAGAGGCCCATGTCCTTGATATTGAGCCAGTTGGCCAGGTCCACCGCGTTCGCCAGTGCGGTCGACAGACCGACGATCCTGACCTTGTCTTGGGTGTGCGATGATATGAAATTCGTACGGGATACTATGACCTCCAGCACCGGTCCGCGATCTTCGCCCAGAAGGTGAATCTCGTCGATCACTATGAGCGCCACTTCCCGCACGTAGCTCCTCGTCTGCCAGCTCCTGCTGATGCCGTCCCACTTCTCGGGCGTGGTGACGATCACTTGCGCCTCGATTATCATCTTTATGTCGGGCGACACGTCGCCCGTCAGCTCCACCACTTTTTTACCCAGCCGCTCCTCCAGTCGCACCTTCCAGTCGTTTATACGCTCCCGCACCAGAGCCTTCAACGGCGCTATGTAGACGACCTTCTTACCGGGATACCGCTTGAAAACCCGGAACATCGCGATCTCCGCAGCGATCGTCTTCCCCGAGCCGGTCGGTGCGCCGAGCAGCACGTTGCTGTCCGTGTGATAGAGGCAATGGAATATCTGAGTCTGTATGGGGTTGAAGTGGGAGAATGTGTAAAGCTCCTCGTAAGAGGGATCCTTCAGAGCGCTCGTCGGCAACGGTTGCAGCTCCAGCAGGTCCGTGTGAGGCGGATGAGTCTCCGGTAGGATGAGATCGTGAAAGCTCACCGGGAACGTGTCGTCGCAGCCGAGCCAATACGCGCTCGACACTTTAATTAAATACTGAGCCGGCAACGGCTCGGACAACGGTATGGTGATGACGAGCTCCTGCTCGATCTTCTGAACGACCGCCTTCCTCGTCAGGAGGAAGTCCTCGTAATGGTAGATAAAGTTGCTGTCCGGGTCCTCGATCCATATGCAGAAAAGCTGCGAGTTCTTGCCGTGCGCGTGGTCGTTCCAGCTGAACTCCGGGATCAGCGTCAGCCGCAGTCGCAGCACGGTGCGCGTGATGGGCTGCAGATTGAACATCACGTCGACCTTCGGCAACTGGAGGCAGCACTTCTTCACCAGAAGCGCCATTCGTTGATCTCGCAGGATGACGCCGATCTCCTGCGTAGCCATCTCCTTCAGCCGATGAATCGGCAGCTCCCGTCGCTCGATCTTGTAGATGATCTCCGCGGACAGGCAGCTGAATTGACGCAGCGGCGTCATGTAGTCCCACTGCTGCGCCTCGAACATCTTCGCCATCGTCAGCAGCCGTCCGGCCATTATCGCGTTGTTCTTGCGCAGCATCACCTCGAACAGGGCCCGTACTATTCTCGTCGCGTTCTGCGTCACGTACGCCTGATCGGATATCAGGGACGAGGCGTTCACTCGGCCTCTCGACAGATACGTTTGCAGCAATATGTTCACTTTGCCGTAGATGTTCTCGACCCCGCCCTTCGCCACGACCTTGCAATCGTCGAACAGCTGATCCAACTCTTCCACTTCGTCGTCGCGCACCTTGAGCTGCTGGAACTCCTGCGCGTGCGATATCATCTCCAGGATCTCCGCCTCGGTCATCATGGGTTTCTGCATCTGATTGAAGATCTCCACCGTGTCGTACTTGAGATAATAGTGGCTCGCGATACGGCCGAGGTCGGTGGCGCTCAAGTCACCGGTGCGCTCGTCGTACCTGATCATCTGCGCCTTGTCCAACGCTTTGGCCGCGTGAACCACGAGCTCCTTCCGAGTTTTCTCGAGATTCGGATCTTCCACGAGGGTCTGGTACAGTATACCGTACACCTGATAGTTCAGCTTCATCCGTACGAACAGGTAGGTGTAGCTGAGCCACTCAACCGCCTCCTCCACGTTCGATATCGTGCCTAACGTCACCTCGGCGTTCAGATTGTCGGCCAAGTACGTGACGAAGCTGCTCTCGATCGGTATCTGATTCGTCAGCAACGACAGGTAATGCGACAGCTTGTTGTGCGTCGTGATGATGACCGCGTGTCCGGACGTGTCGAACTGCGGTCTACCGGCGCGGCCGAAGATCTGCAGCACGTCCAATATACCCAGATCCACGAACGAGCCGTGCTTCGCGTCGTAGATCTCGGTGCCGCGTATGATGACGGCGTGCGCCGGCAGGTTGACGCCCCACGCCAATGTGGCGGTGCAGACCAGCACCTTGATCAGACCGTCGGCGAAGTACTTCTCCACCAGGTTGCGGTCGGTGCGCGTCATGCCGGCGTGGTGCACGGAGAAGCCGCTGTTGAAGAGCTCGCCGAGATGCTTGTTGCGCGACGACGCGAACGCCTTATTCATGTGCTTCGCTTGGCTCTCCGACAGGAAGTACTTGAGCGTTTCGTTCCTCGTGGCTAGCTCCTTCAACGCCAGGGCCGTTTTCACCGTGGCGTTCCGCGCGTGCACGAACACCATCACCTGGTGGCCCTGTCGCACCATATCCATCACGTGATTGTAGCACACGAGATCCATGTCGTTTATCATTTGCAGCGGCTTGATGGCTTTGACGCCGACGAACGTCTGGCTCAACGGCACCGGTCGGAAACGATGGTCGAAATAGAAGAGCCCCTTGTACGGATTGACGCGCAGGAATCGCGCCACGTCCACGTAGTTCGGCAGTGTCGCGGACAACCCGACTATCCGGATCATGCTCTGCGTCGATTCCACCTGTCGCAGGGTCCGCGCGACCAACGCCTCCACCACGGGTCCTCTGTCACCGTGCAGCAGATGCACCTCGTCGATGATTAACAGTTTCACGATACTGCTGAGGGACACGTCGCCCTTGCCTTTCCTCGTGACGACGTCCCATTTCTCCGGCGTGGTCACTATCATCTGAGTCTGCTGGATCTCCTGCTTCGTCAGCTGCATGTCGCCGGTGTACTCGCGAACCTTGACGCCCAGGGCGCTGAGTCTCTTGTTGAAGTTGGCCGTCATCTCCGCTGCCAGTGCCTTCATGGGCGCGACATAAATGATCTTGAACTGGTCCGTTTGCAGTTGTCCGTCTTGAATGTTCTGCTTCAGCTGGTGCACTATGGTCAACATCGCCACGTTCGTCTTACCCGCACCGGTCGGCGCACAGACCAGTAGATTCTCGTTAGTCTCATACGCTGGCTTAAATACTATACTCTGTATCTGATTTAACGACTTCATGCCATTGAAAGCGATCTGGCCGATCTTGTCCAGAGAAGATATCGACACGAAGTCCACTTTCACGTTGATAGGTTCTCTCTCGGAGATCGGTATGTGCACTTCCTCGCAAAGGTTACTGTTCTTCCTCGTAACGTCTTCGGCCAACAATAATTTCTGTCCCGACACGATACTTGCATGCTTGTTCGCTTTGCAATCGAAAACAAACGGATAATTCGAGTTTTTCTCCGGGATAAACTTCTTAGGAAATAAGGGCGTGTTCCTACTAACAAACGCCTCTTGTTTTTTAAATCGCAACTCGGCCGAGTCTAATTCGCTTTTCTCGATGTCCGCTTTAACGTCCCGCTTATTCGACATTTTATTCAATTTCTTTTCCTCCTTACGCACTTGCTTGTTTAGCATCTTCTCCTTCTCGGACTGTACGGTCACTTGACCGCTGATTATAGGCCCCTGTGCAGGTTTCTGTGGCCTTGAAACTATCTTTTGACATGAATGCGCCGATACGATCGCCTGCTGATGTTCGATTATGTATTCTATAAATTCCAAGTGATTGCAACCCAACATATCGAATAACTCAGTTTGTAAGGCTGCATCCTGAGAATCCCTCAGCTTTTCTACTATTGCTGTTTTAAACTCCGAGAATGACGATCCCTTACCACAGATTTTAAAGCAATTCGTTAATCCTTTCATAAATTTTGCTTTGTCGAACTGTAATTAAAACGAGAAAAGAAACCACCAGAAAATTGTGATTAATTTTTTGTTTTTAATCCTCCTATATTTAACATATCTAATCAATCATATCGTTATGTCGTATCTAATATACACTCACTACAGATTTCTTCTGCACTGAAGATCCTGCTCCGTATAGCTTCATGGTAAACTTATCGGTGGTTGAATTTATTCCTTCCGTGGACATATTGTGAAGTATACTAGTATCGGGCCATACGACTCTTGTCGGATTGTAAGGGATATCTGCACCAAAACCGTGTAAACTAGGAGTTTCTGCATCCGCATTCTCTTTGGTTTCCGATAACAATTGTATGATTTCATCATAATAATTTGACCGAATCTCTGCCACTAGCTATGGAGAATAATAAATGAGACTTAAAGATACATATATTTAGTTGGATGTAAATTATAGTTATATTATATCACACCTCCATCATTTCATGTGCATCATTAAATTCTACATATCCCGCTTTTTGATTGAGCATCTCATATTTCTTCCGAGTTAATTTCTCATCCTCAATTAATAAACATAATACATAAACTGTAAACTCATTTGAAGCATCTGGTGAAATATCCTCTGAAAGGGAGATAACGTAATAGGAGCATAAAGAATCATAATTATGTATGCAAAACAGGTGATACAATCTTTTTTAACTATATTGGAAATTTAATTTAAAAACTTACACTTATAAAAAAAATAAGATTCATACATGTATATTTGATCTTTACTTACCTAAAACTTGTTCTGCAAGTTTCTTCAGCTTCTGAAGTAATATCCCAAGATCCTTAGATGCATTATTGCATATTTCACACCAATCAAGTTTGCTATGAAATAGACAAGTATAAAAAATTAAAAAGATTTTACAGGAATAGATAAGGTTAAAAAAAACATACTATATCGTTATAAAAAGTATAATCTATTTTATTATAAGATAGGTTTATCAACTTAACAAGGCAAGAGATTTAAGTGTCAATAACTAGAACAATTCAAACTTCTTTTATCAATAACTTTGTAATAAAGTCCAATGGCTGATACTTTTTTCATGTTACTCAGCATAGTATCCTTAATATGTCAGGGTCGAAGTCATTAGAGAAGGATTTGTCAATTGGAATAATTCCTAGTAAACAATATTGAATTTACTGCATTTATTTTAAATACAAAATACCAATTTACCTTTCTTGTTTTTCTGCTCGCTCTTGTCTTTTCCTTATTATATCATTCGGTTTAAAAACAAATTCTCTACCTTCCAGGCAAGTAGACATCCGTAAGGATTTGGTTATACGTGGTAATTTTGACATGATGTGCTATCTGCTATTAGACATACGTATATCACAAAATAAAAGATAAACATAACACATATCACATATGTTGTTCTAGATTTGGCTTAGTGTCTTAAATATTTCGTATAAGAAAACGAATATTGTAGAAAGATCACAAGAGAAGATACTCAATTAACATTAATTTCATTAACGTTTTATTTATATATACGATAAATTTTATATCGTTAAAATTTATTTTTTGAGACAGATGCAATACGAAGATGTATTTGCGTCAACAATTATAAATTTTATAGGTTATAAAGAGTGAACGCTCGAGCTAAGTAATAAATTGTAGTCGCAGATTTTAATCTGAGAGTGAATTAACGGTGAGATATTGTAGAATTGTTCAATTTATGACAACTACGAGGAAATCTTCGCAAAATTAGGCATATTGCACGATATATCGTAATACCAGACCTTCACAAAGCATGTCTCTATGCGTACTAATTCAATCAACTCTCCTAGAAGTGTATCTTTCACATATATCCACGACAGTAATTCCCCGTTGATTTAATCTACCATTTACCGATAACGAGGAAGAGTCCGCCGTGTCAACTTCCTCAAATAATACTACTGCGATCGATATACGTACCGGGAATAGTCTCGTAGTAGACGGCAGTAATAATTGAATAACAACGATTGTCGCGAACCGATCAAATAATTCGTGAAGATCAATTTTTTATAACACACTTTTGACAATGCAACAGCGTCACACCTGTCGGTTGCATTTTTGCGACAGTCAACTCTTATCGGTTCAAATGTTTCATATCCGCCATGTTCGCTTTTTCCTCTGCGGTGTCACGGATACCAACGCGACGATGAGTAACGATCGATTCCAGAGACATTTGTCGTCGCGAGTTTTCGGAGCTCACAGCGCCATCTAGGAAACCAATAGCTCTCCCATTGGCTACTCGTTGACTTCACTCCTTGTCGTCGATCGCGCGCATCAAGTTTGCAGCACTGCTCCATCTATTTATTCCATCGAGGGGCCTCTCTTTGTCGTCGTTGTGGTCTGTATCGAAGCACGAGGAATGTCTTCAGATGTTTCGTCCAAGTGTTATCACGGAACGACGACTCGGTGGTGGTGACTCGTGCGGGTTGCCTGCTAAGTAGCGTCGGTCGCCGCGATCATCCGAGCAGGCATCGCGAATGAACGCTTGGTGTAACGTGTAATGAGATCGTCGTCGTTGCAGCAGCCGTCGTACGGTCGCGCGAGGTTACCGCAGCAGCATCATCGCAAATGACACAGACTCGGCTGGACCGCCGAATCCTACCAGCACTCGGGCTGGGGAGTCGTCTTCGTCGTACAGAGAAAATGTGCGAGAAAAACACCGAACAGACGGCGTTTTGTTGATCCACGGCGATTTCGCGGCGAACGCGACCACGTACGCACGCACGCATCACGCACGCATCACGCACGCACATACGCACGCGAGCAGGCACGTACGCACCGGTGCGCACGCACGGCACGTCCTGGCACATCCGGAAGAGCATCCCTCTCTCCGACACTCGTTCTTTTGGACGAGAATTTGATAAAGCGGTCGAGACAAGATATTGTCGTCTCACGGCGGTTTTTCTTGTCTGAAACCTCCACCACCACCGCTAGTACTACTACTACCACCGCAGCTGCTACTACTATTACTACTACTACTACTATTATTGCTGCTAATATCGAGACCCGGGGTCGACCGAGAAATCGCCTTAACAATAATAAGGTATACAATCCGGCTGACTTTGTCGCGTGCGTCTCTTCCCTCTCCTTCTCTCGTACGAGCGATTTCGCGCGTGACTCATCCCTACCCCCTCGGCGTTCGAACCTCGTCGCTTCTCGACGCTTGCGATATTGTTTTGACAGGCTGATCGCGAAGCGATGTGAGATCTTTCCAGATTGACGAAGCATCAGCGATAAATGATCTCGAAACGCGCACAATCTGTCTCGGCTCAGATTTTCTGCGATCTCGCGACGAGATCCTGTAGCTCTGCGATATTGCCATGACTCTTCGTGTTATTGTTGTACAATATATATCTGTACGTCTGTTTACTGGCAGTGCGTCTCTCTCCCTCTATCTATCCGTGGTTTCCCGATTGCATGACCAAGCAGATATATTGAATTTAATACGAATCTCAAGTGGCAGTGACTGATGATAATAACAATGGTAATAATAATTGTAATGGTAATTGTGTGTTTCCTCAGTTTTCAATCGAGACTGCCAATGTAAGACTGAATTACTGATGCATGGGATAATCGTTTTTGATGTTAAGTACGGTCAGCATCAATGGGAAACTGCTTCTCGTGCTTTAAGGTGCCACTTCCACCAACCAGCACTGATCAATCAATCGCATTGGATCATAAAGACGGTGAATATGCATTATATCGTCGTTGTCCTGCTTTTATACAATTACACACGAATCACTTTCTACAGATGATTACAAAACAATATGTGATATATTTATATAGTCGTTGGTGCTGTACTCAACTAGAAATGGTGTTCTCATCACCTTATAAATTTGTATCTTTATCATGTTTTATATAGAAACAATGGAACTCAGAGGTCTGTTCCAAAATTCTTGCCAACAATCTGGTTCTTTCGTGCCTGAAACACATGTGAACGGGAACAGGAAGTCCATAAGTACACTACCTACATTTAATACTGTAGGCTCGGACAATTGTGGCTCTGTGCCCAGTGTACAAAGTAATCTGCGTTTATCACGGGGATTTTATGCGCGATTACCACCGCTAGGACGATCTGGTACTTCGTCGGGTCTCAATCTGTCTACTGAACCCAAGCAACAAAAGGAACCATCGGAGAGCAAATTGAACGCACTTTTTGACCAATATAAGGTAAAGGACACATTGAACTTAAGTTTGTTTCTACTCAGAATAAAGATAATAAATTCTGTAATTTGTGTAGTCTAAGACCTCAGATTCAGATATGATCCTTATATCTTGCCGATCGTGCTTGATTGATTTTGTTGAATTTATATATAAAAACACATATTTATTTTGTTAAATTTATATATAAAAACAAAGATTGATTTTGTTAAATTTATATATAAAAACAAAGAAAATACACAGGATGTTTTCTATAGAAGGAATTTTATGATAGAACATCATAAAGAACTATCGTGCAACTGATATCCTATTGTATTTATTTTGAAGGATCCTCACGAGGACGTAATATTAGCTGACGGAATAGAAAGACTTTGTGATGACTTGCAACTGTCGCCCGACGAATTTAAAGTTCTCGTTCTCGCATGGAAACTAAATGCGGAGCAGATGTGCCAATTCACGCGCCATGAGTTTGTCACGGGACTGAAGGCGATGAAGGTCGACAGTATACGCGGTATACAGGCTCGCTTGCCCGAAATCGTCCAGGAGTTGACGGTCAATAGCGACCTGTTCAAAGATCTCTATCGATTCACATTCCGATTCGGCCTCGACGTGACGTCCGGTCAGAGAATCTTGCCGGCCGACATGGCGATTGTTCTCTGGAAACTCGTCTTCACGATACGCGAACCTCCGCTGCTGATTAGGTGGCTCAAATTCCTCGAATGTCATCATATTCGTGGAATACCCAGAGACACGTGGAATATGTTTCTCAACTTCGCCGAGAGCATTGGAGATGATCTCGGTGCTTACGACGACGCGGAGGCATGGCCAAGTTTGTTCGACGATTTTGTGGAATATGAAAACGACCAGATGAACCAAAATATCACTAAAGACGATATTATGAAAGATGCTTCTATCGATAAAGCTTAGATGTTCGTATTATCCTAAGTGAAAAAAAGAAACGACAAAGTGAAACGAGCATATTATTGTCTTAATAATCCGACCTTTGAACAGGATCGTCCGATTTGTCGTGGGAAGCATAGTTGATGTTTTATTCCTATTGGTATGACCATGGAAGTGATATTTCGGATTTGCTATTGCTTTTCTTTCTTTTTTTCTTCTCTGTCTTTTGTTATTGCGTCATATTTGTTTTCACGCGGCATCGTATCTCTCCCCCCTTCTCTCTCTCTCTGTAAATGTAAATATTTTATTTCATGTAATTTTATTATTTAATTACGTTTTGTCATATGTGTGTATAATACGAAAGACATTTGTATCGCAATATTTTAACAGCAGCTGGCGATAAGTTATATGTATTGGTATATATCTTTTTTTTTTTTATATATATGAATGAAGTTACACAGTCTTGGTCAAAGTTATTATTTTTGCACTTTGACCGTAATAACGCATAAACATTGCCAAGTTTTCTATGCAATGTTATCAAATTAATCATGTGATCGCTTATGATAATGAGTTGCGTTTGCTGAATAATTGTATCGATATAATGATGGTGCTTATTTATTGTGGTCAATTATAAGAATGATATCGGTTCTGATAGACTTTTGTTATCTTACAAGAAATTCAGGACGCACATGTATAACAGCACAGGATTATCGACTTTTTTTTGTTAAACCGTGATATATATATAAACGCAGTGCATCTTTAATTTCTAAATATACTAGTTTACTTATCATAAATATATGAAAAAAAAAAAATTCAAGAAATATGGAACAATCGTAAATTTTGATATAGCAATATATATAAATTACAGCTTGAAAGAACGGTAACTAGAATGAATTACTACTAACATGGTATGTTTGAATATCGATTTATATTTTTATTGCATTAAAAGAAAAAAACGACACACAAAGTATTGATGTAATAATAAGTATCATCATTACTTTTTAGTTCGTCTATACGGTCATGTCTAATTGTATTGTTATTATAGTCTGTTTAAATTTGAAATTTCATATAGCTAAGAATCATTTTCATTTTTCATGTTATAATCGCGCTTGGCATGGAAAACATTAAATTCTTATTTTATTCAAGTAATAAGAATTTTATTTATACATAATTATTTATGGTTGTTTTATAGCTTTGTACTGATATCAGGAATTATATTTGATAAGATACCGGATTATAAGTCGAAAGGATTACTGTGGATAGCGCCTGTGTTGTAAAAGTCTTATAAATTAGACTATAAAAGACGTTTCTTAGGAAATTTCGCTAGAAACACTCGGTGTTTGAGAGTAACGTTTCTCTGTAGGGTACGAAAGTTTTAGTAAATATCCCGAGAAGATTCTGTTCAAAGGAGTACGTTCAGGGAAATGCGAGAAATGTAATTTTGCATAAGAAAAAGTTTAGAAATGAATTCTCACACAATCCAAATTTGTGATACAGTGTGTATAAGTATATATACAGAGTGAATCGCACACATTGGACAGATTGTAGTTCTCGTTTCGTTGAAAATGGGAAGAAAATTGTGAAAGAGGGAGAGACACGCAAAAGCGCAATGGTGTGTTGAAGAGGTACGGTTGTATCTTCTTGGTCCATAAAAAACTAAATCCTGTTTCTTCCTCTCTCGTATCATTTGTCTTCTACATTTATCACGCATCTTTCGTGTTTAACGAAACAGAAACTATATCCTGTTTCAACAGCGTGACGCACTCTGTATAGTTTCCAATGCATTAATATTTCTTACATTTTTTGAGGATACTGTTAAAGCAGTGGACAAATGTAAAGAAAAGTGAAATATCTCATACAAAGATCCTGAAATTTACCTGATTAAATATGTGTATGTACATATATATATCTATATGTTTATATATATGTATATATATGTACATACACAGGATGTCCTACTTCTGTCGCATTATTTTTTAATGACAGATTCTTGATCAATTTAGAATTGAATTTTCTTTAGCGAAAATGTTGACACGCTGAAAATTTTCAAATAATGAATGATTATGATAGAAGAATTTCTCGCGTATTAGACTTTAGGCAGCTCAGTGGATGCGGAAACCACGTTCTTTAGCTATTTTGAAAAAAAAAGGATTTGAAAATTGTAAAAAAGAAGATTGTCTCCCTCGACATTTACGCTAAGGAAAAAGAACATCTCCAAATCGTTCGTAGAATCTACAGTTGCAATATAATGTGGTAGAAGTGGCACATTCTGTATATATAATTAGAATTAGTGTGTATATGACGTAAACTTGTCCAAAACTTACGTAACATATTAATGTGACGCGGTGTACTTGCTACAAAAATTTCAGTCATGTGCAACTAATGTTTATCTAACGATATTGCGAACGATGGAAAGTGTATAAATTTAACTTCGATTATGTTCCTATATTTATTTTGTTTCTTTATTTTCTTTAAGGGAAGCCTTATCTTAACACGCTGAGAAAAGGAAGGATATTAGCTCGATTAGCGGAGTGACTAATAACGATATGCAGCGACTTATTGTATTGTTAAGAACGAAAAAGAGATCTTTCATTTCTAAATTTTACAAACAAAAAGGTTGTCTATGTACTTGTATATAGTGCCATGTCTTTGTGGTACAATGAAGAAAGATCTCTGTCGAATTTTATCGAGATAAAACTATTGGAAAATCACAAAATGTCGATTCAACAAAAGACATGATATATATACATCATATTATTCTGATAATATCTTTTTCTATGAATAATTTTTTATCCTGATGTGAGCTAGAGTGGAAAAAATAGGAAGAGGAAAATTAATAATTCTGCAAGATATTTTCGGAAGTACCGTGCTTAAAAAACTTTCACCGTCCTTTTGTCCGCAGTACCTGATGCAGGTACAATATAGATACCAAGGCTTGAAAGTACGATTTAGATTTTAAAATTATGCTCACACATGCAGAGGATTTCATGCAGTTAATAAGCGCGAGATACGACGATATTAATATGTTTTAGCCACGAATTTACACTAGATCGGTAAATAATTTATTGCGTTATCGTTGGCATTTATCTCTCTCTCTCTCTAGCTCTCATATTTTAGAATTATATCTCCAATCACAGTGGGCACAATAAACAACACAGGTTTTTTGTAAAAATGATTTAGAAAGTTCCTAATCTCACTCTTGAAGAAGAGAGTCTCATTGATATACTTATCAAATTCTACATATATAATTTTGGACGCGTGCCTCTGATAAATCGACTTTCGTCAGCTATAAGATCGAAAATCTCCTCTGTGTCAGCATGACTTATTGTCTAAGTTTTGGGATTTGTCTCGAATATATGAACATACATTACTCAGCAGACGCACATGTATTATTAATACACTCTTTACTTTCAGCGACTTAAGCAAATGCTTAAATTTAAACTTAAGCGGATGCTTATCTAAGAATTAGATTTATCTATATGTGTATTATATATACCTGGCTATACAATGGCTCATGATTTTTTAACGCTTCCACTTAATTGTTGAACTACAGATTAGTCTTAAGGATCGCATAGGACGACTTTCATTGTGATAATTCCTAATCAGGTCGAGTCTGGTAAACAAGAGAAAAAAAAGATATTGTTGTCAAAACAAGAGTAGATAGAGAAACTAAAGTAACAGTGATAACAGTGTTAAGGATCAAGTGATAGGTGTAAGCGAAATCCGCACGTACGTGCGCCTGAGAGAAAGGGTATGATTGGGTGAGTAAGTGAGAGAGAGAACGAGAGAAAGTGCGCTGATAGAATTGATATTTATAATTAAATATTATTGTACACACAGATAAAACATTTCTCATAAAGAAGGTAATAAATATGATTCTATACAAAATAACGCAACTAAAGATACATTGAAAAGTAATTATTACATATACAAGTTAATTCGGTGCTTTCAGATATTTGATAAAATCTATTTTTTAAATTTAGATATTTTCTCCCATTTTTAATATCGAAGTACCAATCTTAACGTTTAAAAATACTATGGCTACGTTTGATTTGGACGCTCACATGCTATAAAAGCCAAATGACACTAGAGATTGCCGATATAATTGCGATTTAATTGGCTATTACTTTTCAACCGATTAGAGCAAAGCAATCGGTGACTAATTTGATTGGTTGAAAAGTAAACACTAATTGTTAATCGCAATTCAATCGGCACTTACTAGTGTGATCTTAAAGCCTTGTGTCCACGATATATTCGAATCAAGATCTAATACTTATTTTTATTGGTAGATGCTTGAAAGGTACTAAATCCAATAATTTCTAGTAACTTTTACAGCCGGCCAACAATTCGATCTGAGATCTAGCATCGTGGACATAAGGCCTTATTCAACTTAATACTTTACCGATACTATAACGTGTTACCATTTGACTGTATAGTTCATATTCGTGAATATAGAGGCGCTTTACGAGAATCACGGAAAACTAGCGTATGATTCTTCTCTGTCTAATACCGATAGTCTAATACCGACATCTGTATTTTAAATTATTGGTGCATCTGAGCTTTGTTTGTGGATGTTTTCAGTTTGGATTTTAATTTCCATGGAGAAATCTATCGAAATATATGCAGGAGACTAACGCATTAAGCAGTCGCTATCACGCTAGTAACGTTGGATTATTTAATGCTGAATACAAATTGGCAGACTTTTCGCTTAGATTATGTTCGAAAGCGACGATTGGATTTGTGAAGTGAGTCTAGTTTGAAAATCGTATTAGAATTTACTCGACTAATCTGTCTAATGTGTCTTGTTTATCGTAATTTTATCAACTCTGAAGGCATTTGATAAATAGAGTAATTTGATATTATTCATACAATAATGTAGTTGACATATGTATTTGATACACTATTCTAGGTTGCTTTTAATGATAATCATGGAGCAACAATACAAACTCATCCTCAATGTCAGAATAAAGAAGAAACATCCACCAAACGGCGTAAAGTCGATGGCTACATGGCTTCATTCTTCACAGGGAATGATAATTCTGAAAACGAATTAAATGTCACAAAAAATACAAAAGATAATAATTTATCTGATAGCAGTAAGAGCAATATAACACGTGAACACCTATTATTAGGAATTTTCCAGGAGAATATTCGCCAAAAGGAGACAAGAGAGAAGCAGCATCCTCAATCATCTAAAACGAATACATCAAGCTTATCCTCGCATAAGGAACCCAAAGAGAAGAAAGACACCAACTTTGCGAATAAAGACTTTGGTAAAAAATCAAAGTTAATTAGAATATTTCCTGGACCAGCTGGATTAGTAGCTCATATGAAAAATGACAATACTTCTGTTGCTTCATACTTAAATAGTGTGAAGGAATTAGAGAGTAAACCAGCAGCAGAGCATATCAAAAGTAATTTCCCCAAGTTGTCGCAGGATGAGAAGAACTTGCTTAGTGAAAAAGCTTGGAAGTTTCTACTGGATGATTTGCCAAGGAATTTTTTCAATGAGTACGGAATTTTCGCTAGTAAAAATAGGGTAAATGCTAGTCATTGTAACAGTATGAAGGTAAAATTCATAGCAGGTATATTAGATTACATAGATCATAGTTGCGACGATCCATTTATCGTGTTAAGAGATTCAACAGATAGTATAGAAGGCACTATTCATCGCGATATTCCATTAAAATATCCTGGAATATTGGAACCAAATGTGGTCGTTCTTTTGCACGATGTAGGACTATTGAAAACAACAACAAACGTGGTGATGAACAAATATCATATTTTAGTATCTCGAGTAAATTTACTAGCGGTATATTCCAACAAAGGTCGGATTATACACACTCCTTGTACGGAAAATATTTTATCCAGCATCTCGAATATTGAGTTAACTAGAGATGATTGTACCCCATCGATTTCAAATTATTGCGATGATACAGTTGAACGCTGCGCTACTTCTTCCGTTAGTACATCAACCAATCAACAAGTTAACTCGAAACCTTTGATAGTTGACAATTCTACTCTGTTACACCGATCAAATGAGAAGCACGAGAGTGGCAAACAAGCCTTTGATGATAACAGCAAAAACAGCGAAGCTAAGGGTGAAATATTTGAATTTTTTGAGTATTCGATGGATATGGATGACGACGCTTTCTTTGCTGTCGAAAACAAGCCCGTCGTCTCGGATGAGCACAAGCACTTCGACCGCTCGTCATTCGAGGGTACCATTGCACAAACCAGCGAAATTCAACGGTGCAAAGTGCAAACGCAGAACACTGACTGTTTAGAAAATGCGAAAGGAGAATCTTCTGTGATAAAACCGGTGGATAAGATGTTATCTGAATCGCCGGCAATGAAATACAAGGCCGAAAGTTCCAAAAATCTGGTAAGCTACTTCACCGATAAAGCGCTTCACGATAATGAATATGATTCGGACGACGAGATTTTGTCACAGTTAAATATGGATAACATTGTTAATCAAAAAGATAGCTGCTAAGGAGGAGCTTTCTGTATATACTGACTGTGTATCAATTGTTTTAAAGTCGTTTAGATTATTCGAGATTATTTTTCGGTTTGTAGTACCACGTTAAGTTATTATTATGCTCAGTCTCTAAGCACGATACTCGAATCAACTAGTATCGAAATAGAGAATGTACAATAATGTATATACATGCAAATACACGACAGATTATATTTGATGATATAATTATGCTTGTGTGTAAATTGGAGTTACATTGTGTGGTCAAGTTACTCGCGAGATTGCATTTAATTCAGCGTTATTTGTCGAGGATTTACAAAACGTGCTTCTATTGTTATAGTATTGCATGTCGTAAAACGCGATAACGTTTGCGATACGTGCCGTCCAATTCAATCAGCTACTTTCGCGTTCACGATAAAAAATATGTCAACGATGCATTGTATGATTTTACAACATAATTTTTATTACGCCTCGATGATACAGTGTCAACATGTTTTCACCTTAAATTGCGAATAACAACGGTAACAATTATATACAGCGAGCGAACGAATGCGCGATCCGTACAGAGCGTCGCGCTGTTGCGAGAATTGAATTCGGACTCAGCTGTGTGTCGGTGCTCGATCTGGATCGAATAACGGCGGGATAAAAGCTGAATAATGAGAGAAAATGAAACTTGAAGCCCCAGTACTCGCGGAGAATCCGTCTCTTTCCCCACAGGCTCGAACTCGCTCGAACCGACCACTTTAATATCTATCACTGTTCTATAACTCGGTCGAATAATGTCTCATAATGCTCCTGCGGTTAGATATTCCGGTAGATTATCAGACAGTGTATCTCAAGGTCGATCCGATGGATACACATTGATGCACACGCTAACTATCGATCCTGCCTTCTTTGTACGACTCTTTTTTTTTTATACGAGGAAAATGCGGAAACGAGGAGCGAAACTTCAGGAGCGTACTTTCCAATCCTCCTGAAGAATAGAGAAAGAGATTCTTGTGAGATTCTGTCGCGATAAAGAAGGCGTATAGCGCAACTAAAGCCAACGTCTCCAGGCTCAATGTTTATATACGAGTTATCTGCCTCCTTATTCTTTTTTATCCTTGAAGTAAGTAAGACGTCTATTTCAATTGTCCGTTCGAGTATCGGTGTATATTAGTTTCATAATTTAATTTTAACTTTCAGGTATATAGAGTGCAAATTCGGCAATAGATATGCTGCTCGCGTCGTGGCACTCGCGATAAACATTACGGACAGCGTTTGTGTTGCAAGAAACGATGAAAATATTAAACGAGACATCGACATATCCGGCTTACCGTGCAAAGTGCAAAGGATTACGCCTATCAACGGCAGAATCCGGAATAAAAGAGCGGGAGATCGCGAGATTAAAGCCGTAAAATAAAGGGATAACTTGTTCTCACGCGTCACCGAAGGATTATCTTGAGAGACCTCGTGTGTTATCTATTCCCGTCACCCGCACGCGTGACACGCATACGCCAATGTCAAAGTTTTTATGTGTTATTTCGCACGAATTATGTGTTATTATTGTTTGTACGTAGGCACTCAACGTCGTCCGGTGGACGTTCCGCGGTATAGTCGTTTTAATTGGATTCCGAGCGTCTGTTCAGTAAATATTCCCATTCTTTTCCTTATTTTTCTCTCCAGCGAAAGCTCGTCGTATTATGATACGACATTCAGCTACGAGTACTTTTACTAGCCTTCGCACAACTAGCCTTCGCACAAGTTGTGTGAAAACATCTTACAATCTTAAGGAATAAAACGTGATAAAAGTATCTTCTCTCTCGGCGGCCACATTGTCATGCATGTGTTTACGCTATAAAATTGCTAGTAATCTCGTCGCATTACATCTACGTGCGAGAGGGTACGCACGTGGAGATCTTTTTATTTCGTGAAAAAGCATTTACCTTCGCGCATACCCGTTCGTAAGCCGCGTTTATCTTCGGCTTAGTTTTGCTTAACTGGCGCTTTTTTTGCGTAGTGCGATAAGTGAACGTAAACCATAGGTGTAACTAAACCGGTTTTAGCGGCTAATGTATTTCGCATGTAGCAAAAACTTTTCGGTTCTCTCGACACTCCCAACTCGGCTGATGAAATCGTGATGTCATTTTATTTGACCTTTACGCAAAAGATATTTCAGTGAAGTTTGTAAGTTCGCAAACCCAGCGTCGTTTGCGAAGCTCGCGTTCTGCATAACGTTATTATTATCTCCCGGACGCGGGTTTCGATTATTTCATCGTAATTCCGTTATCGAGATCGTGTTTGAGTATTCCATTATTGAACATCGGTTGCGAAAGCGACGAGGAGAAGAAATAACGACGGACGGAGCGAGCGTGAATGGTCGTAAGACGCGGAGGAGCGGAGAGTTTTTCACGTCGGTGACGACTCCCGGCGTCTCACGGCGCACAGTGGTGACAAGACGGGCGGAATCGAAAAATTGTCAGAAATTCCACATTCGGGAAGTGTCTTTCGCACTTGCAGAAATCGTTTGGTTTAGCTAATGTAAAAGAATTCCCTGCGGTGTTAATAGTCTTCTGTCGCTCGAACTCTCTTATTTTTCCTGCTTGTTCGCAATTGTCGGTCACAGCGAGGCTGTGGGGCGGCGGCGGTGAATTCAAGAGTCGCGCCACCGTTGAGAAAGCGCGGTGGAGCGCGATTCTTGATTAACAGGTAGTCGCTCACATCGGTCTCGTCCGATAGAAAATTGCTCGATCCGCCGAAAAAAAAAAAGAAGTTATCTCGCCGGCAAAATCATGCGCCAGACACCACTGTGCGCGCCCGGTGGGCAGGCGAGACGTGACGAAACGACACCACGTGCATGTTATATGAAATGCGAACATCGCATATTGCGTTATCGTGCGCGATTCGGCACGTGCTCGACGCGAACATTCCCCTGTTCGCGATCGCCCGTCGTTAAAAGGTGCAAGGAAACATTAGCGAATTCGTTCCCGTAATCGCTCATAATCGCTCGAGAGAAACCTTCGCCGCCGTTAACGCCGCGCTTACGTACCGCCCGACTTGCATCCAAAGTTCACTCGCTGACCTTGCGCCGTGAACGCGATAACACTCGTACTCCTCTCTCGCAGTTTCCGGCTTACGATTCTGTCCGTTGATTGCTCGAGTTTCAAGCAATTCCGACCGCCGAGAGTCGTTCCGCAAAGCGTAACGTCGCGCGTAGCGTCGCGCGCTCGCCGCTCGAATTCAACCGTCGCCGTGAATGATGAATGCCGCCGTTCGCGCGTGACCCGCGAGTCCCGAGTTATTCGCGCCTGGCGAAAGCGAACGTTTCCTTTTTTTCTTCACTCACAGTAAATCCGCGAAAACTCGGCGAATCGATCCAGATCTCGACGAGCGCGTGCGATCTCTCGCAAGAGAGAGAGAGAGAGAGAAAGAAAAACGTTCATGCGCGAACGGCCGCTCTTACCGCATGCACTACTGTTCGAAACGCTCCCGCGTTTCCATTGGGTGAGGAAAAAAAGGGAAGGAAAGAAAGAAGAAGAAGAGTGGTGCTGTGTGTCTCTCCTCGCGACCCGCGATCGTCCATTTGTCCACTCGGGTTAAAAGTGAACGAGGAGGCGCCTTCGCCGCGAAGAAAGAGGGCCTTCGAGGGAATTCGTCGCAATTCCGCTCGTCGCACAGGTACATATTTCCTTCTTCTTCGTATTTTTAGTTAAGCACAGCTGTGATCTAACTGTCGTTTATTATTACCGACTGTCATCGACTACACGAAAAGAAGCAAGTGAATATTGTGTTTATGTTATTTTTACTGTTTAAATTTGCATTTTTACGGCGCGATATCGAGATGCAATATGCGCGCGCGATTTCGAGATAATTTATTTAAATTGCCGGTTGAAGAATTCATGTGCTGCGAGCGTTGCCGTTTTTCTCTCGCGTTTTCTGAAGGATACCGTGGGGAAAAATATGTAATTTCAGAGGAATGTCTGTGCGGCTTTAATCCGTTACGATAGAGTCGTGATGCTTATTAGAATATTACGTGAAACTTTTTATTTAAATTTCCCGCAGTGCAGGAGTCTCCTCATTATTTCTGTAATTATCGCTAGTTTTGTGTCCACGTCGGTACTTGGTATACTGGTACACAGGTGTGTCAATTCAGCTGTAGTTTTTTTTTACTTTCTAGAGTATTGCTTTATGCGAAAACATATACGTATTTTATTTTGTTATAATTCGAGCCGAGGAAAATCGAAGAAGATGTATATAGACAGAAACATAAAAGCGTTTCTTGAATATTCTAGGACGTGTCCTTTGAAAGAGTATTTATAGGTTATAAGAACGTGTATCCGCGGCAGAATTTTTTTTTTCAACGCCGATTCGTTGCCGTATCTGACTGTTTAATTTTACTTCGGGCGATTGATTTAATATCGCGACGATTTAATCCACGACGAAACTATGTTCTGCACTTTCTGCACGTTATGTGTGTACGGAGAACATTTCAAAATTTATGAACGCGAGTATACGTTTGTATAAACCGTTATTTTCTTGTCCGAAGAATGTGTGTCTTATAAATGTATACGTATATGTTTTCGCATAAAGCAATATTTCCTCAGCTGTATTTGCAATTGTTAAACTATTGAGTACTTTATAAAGTCGAAAAGAGAGAGAGAGAGAGAGAGTTTTCGTAGGATAAATTGAAACTTATCGGAGAATTCGTAAATGCCGAAAAAAAAGCTGAAATAGAAAAACAAGAACTTCGTGCATGATACGTATCAATTTATTTTGTTATAATTCGAGCCGAGGAAAACCGAAGAAGATGTATATAGACAGAAACATAAAAGCGTTTCTTGAATATTCTAGGACGTGTCCTTTGAAAGAGTTTAACAATCCCCAGTAAACACCAACTAACATCAATGTTATCTCGATATTATAATTTTTTACTCAATAATGTAACTGTTACGTACAATATATGTTATATTATATGTTATATTATATTATTGAGTGGAAAATTAAAATATCGATATAATGTTAATTTCAGTTGGTGTTTATCGGATCTGTAGAAGAATTATGTTACATCAAAATATATAATGGTAATTATAAATGCTTCGGTCGCATTTATCTCGGTGTACCTGAGTCCGAGTCGCTCAGCGTACAGATATTAAGTAATTTGTATAATGTTAATACGCAAAGAAAATTAATAAAAAAAGTACAGTAGTTAGATAACTGTCAAGTCCAGATGAAGACATACATAGAGAAGATATTGCGGTGGAAATTACTACAAAAGTTTATAATACTGGATTATACCGAAATTATTATCTAAATTATTCGGTATGTTTTGTAATCTTTAGTGGTATGTACACACGATATAACATCATTAAGGTTACAACATACATAATATTTTCAGTCATAATTCCGGTGTTATTCAGCACTAAAACATTTCCTGGTAATCTTCACCGCAATATTTCTCTGTACATGTGTCGTGAAAATTAAAATAGAACGCGATCGTGCGATTCGCGCTTCGCCGAGGGACAGGAGCGAAGGTGATAGTTCGATAGATTAATGCAGCGCACCGTCTGCATAGCAGATGAGATACTCACTTTCGTTTCTTACCGCCTCTTCCTATCCGTATCTTACTGCGTCTCCAAATCATATCGTACATTTCGATCTTGCCGTTCGAGTATTTTGTCCGGCCTTAATATAAGAAGCATTTAATCTCGAGTAACAGATATTGTTCCAGGATTTATTACGTAACATTGATCGAAAAATTCGCGCGCGCGAAGAGCGACGAGTCTCCGAGCGAGAAACCAGATAGAACGTGATATGATAAATAGCTTTTATACGATTTTGTCGATAGGTGAAAGAGGGACTTGCCAGTGACCGATTCGCTGAATCGTAGCGAAGCTATTGAGACATCACGCGTCGACTTTAATCCAACAAACTCCAAGTTATGACCGATACTAATGGTAAGCACTAGAAACGCGTAAAGCCGAGAGACGTATGGGCGCGATGGTGTTTGCACTGATAACTCGATTATCACCAGAGAAATCTTGTGCTTTAGTATTTTTTTACAATTTCTGCTCGCGCATGGAACGTGAGTGTGAGGACTTGGTCAGATTTGACGTTATTCTCATTATCAGGACGCGCGTGCATTATTAAAGAGAGAGATGAAATATTTTCCGTGACACATTGCTTTCATACCGAATAATCGATGTATTCAGTGGACACGTTTCTGTTAAAAATTCTTTCTTCAAAGTTTCTTTCAAAAATCGAGCCTCACATTTACATCCACTGTGAATATTTTCCAGCGCAGACGCGCTTTATATTTGTATCTGGCGCGAGGGCGAATTTTTTTCATAATACTCTGATAATAATGGAGATTTGCTCTTTTCCTCTACCTTCACGCGTATTTTTTACCTTTACGATGTGTCCTTGGGTATATCGGTTGTTAACAAGAACCAATATCGCGCTCGGATATCAGAAAGTAAATAAACGCGAAATCGCCAATAGTCAGCAATAGAAGTGTAAATTATTCAGATCTACGTAATATGTCAAGTTTGACTTACGCATATTCTATTTGTGTTTCATTCGTACATACATGTTCTTGTTATTGTCTACCAAATTTCTACATGCAGAGAATTTTATTTCGAAAATACGAACATTCACGAACTGACAAATTATTATAAAAGCCTTGCTCGGCTAGAATGTACCGTCGAAATAATAATAAAATGTTAAGACAATATTTATATAGATTTTGGAAGACAATATGAAAGACACTATCATAACTACATATCGCTATACAGATATCATGGTTTATCATATCACAAACACAACGAATATCTCGTCTTTTTGTTGTTCTCATAGACGCGCATACATAGTAGTATTGTATGTTGCACAATAATTACTATCCGATATACAATTTTTTCCTATATTACTAATATTGATGAAATAACGTGTAATCCAAGCTACAACGTCGAAAATGTATATATCAGCATGGGACATTGTTTACTTTTCCGATATTCCCCTGGTATGGTAAATTTTATATACGATTAGGTTAAAAATACGCTTGGTCAAACTATTCATTTATTATTGTTATGTATAAATTTGATTTAAATATAAATATTTCTTAGTCACGCAATATAAGTCTAGTAGTAAATTATTCTATTAATATGTTATATTATTTAATAACAATTTTCTGCGTGCACGACGCTACATTCTTTTCTAATCTTTCGTCCAAATTTTCTCGAGATACATTATCGACAATGTATCTTATTAATTATTACAATGTTTTATTCTAGAATTTAATAACATAATTTATTATATTGTTAAGAATTATTTCACTCGTTTCTCTCTCAGGGATGAACGACAACAAAAAGCCAGATGTTTCGTCGCAGAAAATTCACACTGACCAAAACGAACACCTGGTATGCCGTTATCGCTTTTATATATACAGTACTCGGCATAATAGCTTTAACAGATTTTTCCAGGCTAGTGGCTATATGAAATTCTTTGATTACACGCAATAAATTTACATATTCGTGTATAATGACCATTGAATATTTCGAGAAAACGGCAATGTTGCCTCGAAATAGTTTGACAGTGATAGCTTTTAATTTTAATTTTATATAAGAAAAATTTTGCGGTCACTAGGCCTAATAAAGCTATTATAAGCTGTTAAATATCTTTCATTTACATCTTATCTCATTATTACATGCGCGACTTACGCATATTATAGTACATTTACGGATTCGAGAAGAGCACGTTGAGAACCATTTTAACATACGTATCGTACATATTGTCTATCGGATGGGTCAGACTGTTGTTTCACTGGTATCCACGGCTATATTTGTACGCGACTCACCGTGAATGCGATTTAAGTTGTGCAACGAAAATACTTGCGATAGTAAGTTTTATCATTTCTTATCTATATGTTACGCTCTTTAAAATAATTAGTACCGTCAAATAATGTTTCTAACGATAAAAACCCAAGCAGCACGTAAACGTTTGTAGAACGTTCGTTTTACTTGGTTCACTTGATTATATTCAAACAAAGTGGAAATGTTCGAAGAACATACGTTTTAGAACCTTTAATATATTTTATGTAGCAAAAATGTCGCAGTATCACAATTATGCTGCTCTGTTAGAATTCCATTTTTTAATTAAAATATATACATCTTGAAGTTTGATTATGTCTATTTATAACAAATTATTAAAAAAATATATATTAATTGCTAAAAGATATTAATATATTAATATATTAACAACATTAATATGTAACAGAGCATAATTGTGATACTACGACATTTTTACTACATAAGATATATATTAAAGGTTCTAAAACGTATGTTCTTCGAACGTTTCTACTTTATTTGAATATAATCAAGTGAACCAAGTAAAGCGAACGTTCTACAAACGTTTACGTGCTGTTTGGGAATGATACTTGAATATTTAAAATATCCCAACACACGCACGCACGCACGCACGCACACACACACACACACACACGCACACACACACACACACACACACACACACACACACACACACACACACACAC